TCATTCAACAAACTAATTTTGACCTCTGACTTTACAATGACCTGCTACTTTGACTCAGTCATCATATTAATAGTATCATCCTCATAAATTTCCATGGACTTGAGTTTTGAGAATCCTCCTTATCTATTCAAATGAGATGTTTGATGGATGCAGTCACAGCTCATATTATTTGAGATGTCATGGACTCCCGTTGTTTCATCTGCCCATTATTTAAACCACTTAGACATTCATGGCCGGTCATCACAGGGCTGACACGTAGGGACTATCGTTTAGACGCACTCACACAAGATCAAAAGTCACAAAAAAATCTAAAAAGCCTGTTTTTGCTCTGTAAAAGGAAGTGAGATTGTTCAGAGAAAGTCCAGACATGCATGAGGAGAACATGCTAATTTCACAGAGTAGGGGCGCCATCTCACAACTGAGGCTGTTTTGCTTTGACTGTTTAGACCTGAGTTTTTAAAAAGTGGTCAGGTCATGTTGATTTATATATAAATTTGAAAATTAATCCATCAGTTTTTATCAACAAATTTTCTCAGACTTGTAATTGTTTTACAGTAAAGTTTAAAATCAAAGCGATCAAACACTCTGCCAGGAGTTTCTTCCCGTCCTTCAATGAAACCCTGTGTTTCTTTTTTCTCCACCCTCATAAGCCTAGTAGCCACTCTATGCAGTGATCCCAGAAGCATACCTGTACTGAGGCAGTGAGTCAGAGAGGGATCAGGTCCAGCAGCTCAACCTCAGCTCAGTCTGCCTCGTGTTTCTGTTTACAACACACTGCTGTGGGCACAGTCAAAGTTGCCAATGATCCATTGTAGCAGAGGTAATTGGTTAAAGATGCCTAAACTGTGTGTGTTTTATGAGGTGATTACATGTTTTTAGATAAAAGTTATGCCCCTCTGTGCATGTGTTTTACAGATGTGGTTTAACAGAAAGTATAAATAATATAGTTCAGCTGTTAGATATATGGTACAGTATAGCAGTGACTCTGACACGGAATTGCTCGGTCTAGGTGTTGCGTTATGTAGCAAACAACTGATATGATCGCCAACAAAGAGCGGGAAAGGCCATGGTAACAACAAAACCAGCAGGCTTTGAATACCCCCTGCATAAACCTGCAATTTTGTGGAATAAAAACATGTAAAACTGCAAATAAATTCAGCTAGTTTCAGAGGGTTAGCATGTAACAAAAGCCTTTAATGATAATGCCCCAAAATGCCTGAGCACCTGCAGTTTTGTATGCCAGAGTTACATTGATGTGAACTTAAAAAAACAAAGATTTTCCCTGATTGATTTAAAAAATGATGACCTAAACTGAGCTCATTTTCTTGCTGTTTCGACCTCTAAGAAACCTTAATTAGATTTTTTATTCAGGAAAAAACGCTCTCTGAAACGATGTCTGCCCTCTTTGACTCCTCTAAAAGATGCCTGTAATATTTGAATTATTTTAATCATTTAGATGTTGATCAGCTCAAGAATACTGTGTATGTATATCTATCTGAAGATACACACTGTATTTACTCATGGTAAAACAGTACAAGATGCTGAGGATGTGGCATCAATTACCCTTTGTGGTGCAACAAATAAAGAAAGGGAGTTGAATGAATGGACACTTTTATATATGCACCATTCTGCCAGCTGATATTCACCACCGTATAATTAAGACCACTGCGGTTCATTTTCAGAGCAGTGAAACACACAGGCACACTTACAGTAAATGTGGAACACACAAACATTTGTTCACCATATCCCCAGCAACACCTCACCCTGAACCCACCCTGAGCCACACACAGTTCAAGACCCCTGCACACACATTAAAACAAAGTGCTCCCTTTAATAAGAGCTGCCTGGAGGAGCGTTCCCTGCACTCAGCAGCCATCATGTCTCTGTGGCATCTTGCCTGTGTGTGTGCTGTACTTGCAAGGACCTTGGGGGTCTTGCCTCAGGCCACATTATAGCTCCTCATCACAAGTGATCTCTCAGTAATAGCAGGCCTCGTACCAGCTAATGGCAGCATCTCTCTAATGATGTCTCCATTGATCCAAGTCTATGCAGCTATTTTAAGGAAACTGAGGCTTCTCCGCCGCCCGCCTCCGCTCTTTTCTCTATCTTTACAAGGTGCCTTTAGTTGAGGTCGAGACTGTGAGGACAGTGTGGCCAGAAGTAGATCTGGGTTTATGATGATGAACCAGGGATAATTGGAGGCTGCTTCTCCAGCTCGGGTTTCATGAGCATTGTTGGGCTTATATGAAGGTTAGTGGTCCCAATGGCTGACTGTTTGGAGTTTATTCTTACAGTTGTCTTACACCCAACAGCAAAACGATTTCTGAAGTCTCAACCAACATACTAAACCATAGACTGTATATACTACGGACAACTTGGTTCCGCCTACCACCTGTACATGGATTTGAAGCGAAAAAGCTCTCAGAATTTCAGGGATTTTTCTTCATTTCCTGAAACAAGCGCTGCGCAGTAGCGTTGTGCGCATTCAGCGGGAGAGTCAATGAGAGTCGCTGTGATGACGCAAACAGCGTATCTCCCGGCTGAGCTGAACGCCAATAGGCTGTATCAGGTGTCAATCAAAGAAAACATGAACCCCCTAATAACTTTTAAAAATGGAGCTTCACAGAAAAAAGAGGACTTCAGCACAAACCAGTCTTACTGTAACTACATGTCAACATCGCAAGCAGGGGGAGAAAAATGTATGTTCTCTGAAACAAATTTCTAAAGTTTGTCCACAGCTCCATAAGCTTTGCTGGCTGAGGCGGGGTTTATGACCTATACTGCACCCTGTCAACAGAGGGTGCTGTTCTCAGAGTGGCTTCACCCAGCAAGCAGGCAGACACTGTCCATTCTATATACAGTCTATGTACTAAACGATGTCAGCCTCCTAACAGCGTTAGAAAGATAGACTTGGTGGAAATAGAGGACAGTATTTGGATAAATGTTCATATATATCTGTATTGCGATAGAGTAGCTATACTCTATGGGGCAGCAGTAGCTCAGTCTGGATCAGAGAGTCATCGGTTCAAAAAGTCCTGGTTAGACCATGTCTGGACTTTGGCCTGGAGGTGCCAGGTCTGAGCACCGTCAAAGTGCCCTTGGGCTAGGCACTGACCCCCCCTCAACAGCTCATGGCAGCAAGGCCATCACTCTGACATATCTCTCCATTAGTGCATGTCCATGAGGATGCTGTTTGTGCATGTGTATTTGAATGTAATTCAGTCTGTGTGTGTGTGTGTGTAGCATGTATAACAATAGAGTGTATCACTTTACTTCACTTAATATATGTACTGTACAATCTATTGAAGTTATACATGCAACAAGCTTAAACATTTTTAAAAAGCACTGTTAATAAAGAGACCTGTCTTTGGAGTCCACGGTCAGTGTGACCCAGTCAACACTGATTCCAGCAGGTGGGGCAGTACAGAAATATTAGCCAAATATTACAAAAATGTACTTTATTTTGAACATCAGTGCGGCCGTTTCACAAGTATTTGGGGTTTCCACTTCTCAGAGATTACAACCAGCCTTCCTGCACACTGAGAAGCTGAAACTTGTGTAGTCCCAGAGTATGGCAGCTTGATTAAAACTTTTTTTAACTGATCCAATCAAAACATTGGCCCTTCATAGTTAAAGCAACTGAATGTATCAGGTTAACAAAAGGAAATCATGTGGTGAACTTGAACTGGCTGGTTTAACATTCAAGATCTGTGCTGAGATTGAAGATTAATATCATTAATTGGTCTGGCAAACTGGGTATTGTTTAAAGTTCAGTGCTAAATTATAATACACATTTGAGTGTAAACTGTATTTACAATCCCACAAATCTTTCAATTTAAGAAGTGATCAGTTTTTGCAAAATAGTGTGTCAAAATAAACAGTCACTGAAAAGGCTTGCTGATAAATGTGCTTCATTTAATTCCCTTCTCCGGGAAATCTTTTCATGACACCTCTCTGTCCTGTGATTCAAGAGGTAACCAGCCAGCAGCTTGTGTGTGTGTGTGTGTGTGTGTGTGTGTGTTTTTTTTTTCTACTGTATAGAGCAGTGAAAGAGAGGGTGAGCGACAGAGAGAAACATGTAGAGCTAAACGGTTTGGTGTTCATAAAGGATTTATAATGTACCATGTGTGTCAGCTCAGTGTCCCAGGTCTCAACTCCAGTGACTCCTAAGTTAGGTGATATTTTCACTGTCTCTCTGCACTTTATGAAACATAACACTGTGTTGATTGAAACACAGCTTGTAAACTTACTCACAGAAATTTCTCAGGAAGGACTTGATATTGGGACAATTTGTGTCAACACACTTCAGATTTTGTAAAAAATGAATTCCTCTTTTAAATGATGTCGAAATTCACTGCAGTGTTTGACTGTTACCTTTGCTTCTGCCAGATCTTATTCCTGTCAGAGTATTACTTTACTTCTCGTCTGTTTGTATTGCTTTGACAATAGTGCCCTCCTGTGGATGCTTCTGTAACTGCACATGCATTTATATGTTAAACCTCTGCAGCATATCAAGGATACCGGCAGACCTCTGTGCATCTAAACTCAATCTTTGCTCCATCTTGATCTCCTAACGTGATGAGTTTAGTTGGAGCATGTCTAATTTGGAGTATTATTTACGGGTTATTCTATTCTATTTGGACAAACGTCATTGCTCTGAAAAATTTGTGTTTCACAACTGCTAAATGAAACTATTTGAGCATCCAAAACCTCTGCAGGTTTAAGTCATTCAGATGTAATACGCTAAAGTGTTGGACTGAAAGCAAAATAGAAGAGTCGTCTATTTTTAGAGGTGATTCTGTGCCTCTCTAACTGGCCCTACACTTCTCTTGTCTGATGTCCACAAAACAAACTTAAACAGAGGTGTTAGTCAGGTGAGGAATGTATTCATGTGTATGTATTAGTGTAATTAGTGATCACATTTATAGGGCATTGTTGTGCTTGGTTTGGTTGTGATTACTGTATTTATGAGGCAAACAAACAGAATAATTTCAAATTCATACTTTGTTCTGTGGGTTTTATTTTGATACTACAACTAAATTACAGGTGTATCTCCATAGAAGTCATAACATGGAAAAGTATCACAACACAAAGCAGCAAAAAAACAAAACAAAACAAAACAAAAAAAGATCATAGAGTTCACATAACACAAACCATGTTTCACTCACCCCTCTGATACCAAGTCATACTATCTACACAGAGTGTTACCTGCAGAAAGAGACTCTCTCAACAATGACATTACTGACACCATCTACAGTAAGCCACTTTCTTCATTTATTTAGAAGAGAGTAAGATCTGCTGATTTCAGAACGGGTCATATTTTCTTTTATCAAAATATAATTTTTTGAAATTCATCGGGTTATTTAAAACTCCTCCGCAAATAAAACTTAAAGCACTTAATGAGTGATGCCTTTGAGGGAAAACCTTTTTTTTTTTCCCCAAAATTTGAGTAGAACCTTAAATTGATCAACTTAAGCAGATGAAAACTTTGTAAAACCCAGATTAAAATCAATTCTCACATTTGTCTTTTATGTTTTCACATTATCAGTCTTAACCAGTCTCCTATGAAAAGACTAAATTCCAAATAATGGGGAAAGACATGAGGAGGAGAGAAATGCTGCTATCCAAGTCCGGCATAGACATAGATGTATCGATGTGTCCAAAGTGTGGAGAGTATCATCATTTGATGGTATCAGTCAGTTGGAGGGGCCTCCTGAGGTTCCCGATTGACTAAATTTAGAAAAGAGAAGAAAACAGTTTGTTAGACAACTCATGGTACTTTGGCGAGAAATGGTAGATGTACTGTGTTTATACGGTACTGTCTGTAGTCGTCTGACCACTCAAACCGCTTTAACATGACATGTCACATTCACTTATTCAGGCTGTTATGTATACAGCCCATCAGTTTTGGTCCAGTTCCATTCACACTCCACTGGGCGCAGCCAACAGGTGCGGATGGGGTCAAGTGTCTTGCCTGAGGACAGTTTGGCATGAGGACAGCCTCAGAATCGAGCCCTGACCTCTTGATTGGGTGACAACCAACTCTTCCACTGAGCCACAGCCACTCAGATCATTACAAAGGTAGAATAATGTGCAACTCAAACCCTATTTTTAATTTCTTGTTTAGTAACAAGGGTTTGTTATTTTAAAAAACTAGATTTGCTAGACCCCTTACATCATAAAGCCCCCACAAACAAACTAGTTTACTTAAAATCCAGTCTTTGGGGCCTGTACAGTACAGAATAGTTTATCTTGACAGCAAAAACAAAAGTGCAGTTACCTTCTTCTCTTGCTTTCATGCGGGCAACAAAGTTGTAACTCTTGTTTCTGCGATAGTTCTCATAGGGGTCATCGAGTGACACCCCTACACCTTTGTACTGGTCCCATTTATCCCTGATGTCTCCTCCTTTGATGGGGTCCTGGATTCCCTGCTCTTTGGCCCCTAAACCACCTGAGCCACTCCACCCTACAAGAGAAAGAAACAATCAGTGATTACAAAGCGTGACTTTGGTTTTCATATCAGGATTAAAAACACCAACTTCAAACAGAAAAATCCAAAAAGGAGCATACCCATCTTCATCAGCAGCTGGTGGCCTTTGTTTTCCTCCCCTAGCCGGTTATCTACAGGCACTTTGGAGGAAGGGGCACCCAGCACTGATGTGGAGCTGTAGAAAGCAGAGGTGTTCATCTCTACTACAGTAAAGCTTGAAGTCTACAACGTTCAAAACTGTGTCTGAACAGCCATCTGAGTGACTTACGGAGGGGAGGCGCTCTGGGACTTTTGGCCTCGTCGCCTCTTGGTGGGAGAATGTGAACGGGATCTTGATCTGGAGCGAGACCGACTTGGAGATGACCTGGATCTGCTTCTTGACCTACGCAAAGAAATATCAAGACAAGGTCAAGTTTGAACGTGTTTGAAAGAAGAAGCAATTTGTCAGTTTGTTTGAGCAAAACTGACCAACTGTGCAGATTGTTGTTTTCAAGAATTACATAAAGCATTAACGGACTAATTCACATGACTTTGGCATCACACAAATACCTGTGTGAAATGTGTGAGCACATACCTGGATCGTGAGTAGGAGCGCGAATGGCTGCGTGAGTGGGAACGAGATGAGCGTGACCTGGACCTGGAGGACTTTGAGGAACGAGAACTGGAGCGAGAAGAAGACCTTCCCCTGCTGCGTGAGTGACTCCTCGAGCGACTGCCTCCACGAGCACTAAAGAAATGGGAAGGGGAGTTGTTAGGGAGAGTGTGGACTGACCAACCAGGTGTGGGTTTGTTTTTCAACAACAGCGATATCATCCCCAACTGACATAACTGTGAAGACCAGTTTCAAACCACAATGAGTGTACAGACTGCGATCAAGAGGATGAGCTGTAAGATCAGGATGTGTTAGACACATGGAGCTTCAATAGAAGAGATATAAACAAACAAAGAGAAAGCTCACCTGTTGCGTTTTTCCTGTCCCTTTTTCCTCCTAGCTCTCATCTTGGCCCTGAAGAACTCATACAGGCCGTTCTGCTCCCAGCCTTCACTGGAAACGAGAAGAAACAGCCAGTTGAAAACAAAATATCTGTAAGCAATCAACCAAACCTACAAGAACTTTCTTCCAGCTGTGAACAGGGGCTATTAGGATCTATCAGCTGGAAAATTCGGAAAAAATCCAGATCACATTTTATTTACTGACGGAGTGGCATGAGTACCTGTTTCTAGGCCGATCATGTGACGGAGGGCTGTAGAAAGCTTCTACGGCAGCAAGTAGTCGATCACTGGGGGGCATTGGAGGGGGAAGGCGGATGTCTTTGGGGTCCAGAGGTTTATAGTCATAGTCTTCGAGCTAGGTAAGCAACAGGAAGGAGAAGGTCATAAAACATGCAGGTTTGACTGCTATTGGGTCAATTTTTCCATTTAAAACAAGAAAATGCAAAGGCAGGTGACTAACTTTGACCAGTGGAGCCATGAGGCCAGCTGGAAGGTCAAAGTAAGGTACATTTGGCACCAGACTGGGGTCGTCTTGGACTGGGTGCTGCCGATGACGCATGTGGGGCGAATGGCCGTTGAAGCCATGTGGGGGTGGGCCAAATTCTGGGTGCTGCCCTCCACCCCAGGGGGGGTGTTCAGCCCCCATACCTGGAGGAGGGAGCCTCTGATTGGGATGGTGATGTGGAGGAGGTCCTGGCATATCTGGCAAACGGAGGAAGTTGTTATAACACACAAAAAGTATCCATTAAACACGACAACAAGTGCAAAATGATGGAGCTTTGCATTTTTGTTGATTGCTGATCAATAATTTCACACCTCCTGGAAATTCCCCCTGAGGGTAGTCAAAGCGGTGTGGGGTATATGGGGGTCGGTCATAGTGGTGTCTCGGTGGGAAGTCGTCCTGCATAAAGCGTGGCGGAAAGCGTCCAAAATTGTGGGGTGGTGGAGGAGGCTGGTTGAAAGGAGGTGGCTGCTGATGAGGGGGGAAGGGACCTCTGAAATGGGGAGGTCTCTGTGGAAATACACGTCAGACATAGAATAAGTTTTTCTCAATTTGGGATGTGTTCATCTCAGACAGTGGATACGGATCACAAAGTCATGAATAGTGCAACGGGGGAAAGCGTTGTGATAGCAGAAATCATCTACCACATGCCTGCATACGCGGAGGAAACGGGGGCTCCCTTTGGCCCCATGGGGGCTGATCAGGCTGGTTCCCCCAGGGTGGCTGCTGGTCAAAGGAGTTCCAAGATGGCGGGCCTTGGTCGGGCCCTCCTGGACCGCTCCAGGGGCCACCTTCTCTGGGTGGGGCTCCACTCCAGTTCCCAGGGTCCCTCTGCTCATTCCACATCCCCTCATGGCTGTTCCAAGGAGGGCAGGGTGGGGGAGGATGATTAGGGTCAAAAGGGGGCTGGGAAAAGACAAAATCAAGAGAAGAAGAAACTATTCAGAGAGCAGAGTCTGAACTATTCCAGCTATTCTTCTGTCTGTTTGGACTAAAGCTTCAGATTAAGTCTGTCTGTCTCAACCCCACCACTGACACACTCCCTGAAAAACCCCTGTAGCTGTATGCATGCAGGCTTATGAAACAAATTGTTAAGACCTTTACCGGCTGGCTGGGGTTCCAGGGTCCCATGTGCTGGGGGTCAAACCATCCAGGTTTGTTGGAGGAGACATCTGAGGGTCCACTGGAGTTGCTGGGGTCCTGCGGCCTGGATGAAGCTCCATCAAACTCTGCTGGAGGAAGGCCTGATATGGGAGGTTTCCCATCCCCTGTGAATAACACAAGGACTCAGGTCAGCAAGGTCTTACACCAACAGAAACGGTATGTTGTTTATCAAGTAGGGCTGTCGAAATTGCTCCAAAATGACGTCTGAATATTCGTTCTAAAAATAACATATAGGTTTGAACGTATTTTAATATCTAGCTTGCACAGCTTGCACATAACTTTATCTCGCTCAGCATTTTTTTGTCTACCGAGTCTGCTCAAAATCCGAAGAATTTCCAAATGGAGCTTCTTAAGTTTGTTGGAGTCTAGACCACTCTTTTGAGTTTGGCTCCGAACATCCCTCCATCTCGAGTCGAGTCTCACTGCAGGAACAGCTCCTGTGACCTGTCCCTGACCTGTCGTTGCAGTGCGCTCATTCGCAGAGCAGCCACTGTTAGTTTTTTTTTCTTGGTTTTTCGTTTTTTTTCCCACTGAATTTTTAATATTCGAATATTCATTTTCACGATCTACTCTCGTTTCCATTTGAATTTAGAATATTCGTTGACAACCCTCAAGTACAGAGAATGTGTGCAGAAAAACCTGACAAGAACTTCCTAGAAGCTCCTTTAATTAACAGTCTCATTATACAAATTACTTTATTCTCTTCAAAAAGTTTAAAATTCAACAATGTTGTCTTCATGAGCGATACCCTGGCATGTCAACAATACACATACATCAGCAATTAACTGGATTTTCCCAGAATTTTCCCTGACAGTTCCTTCGTTTTTTGGAGACATGCTGCAGGAAATAATTGTGAATATTCACCTCAAACAAGAAGGCAGGGATGATGACAATTACATAACGCAACCGGTGCAAACCCAAAACATGGAGAGGGTCAAAAGAGCACATTCAGGTTAAAGTGAGAAAGTCATTTTCAAGCCAAAGACAGCTCTGACGTCTGAACTTACATTTGTTAATACATGACATGGATAGAAATGCAAAAACTGTGATCTTGGCCTACGTCTGGGTTACTTTGTCATCATCACAACACTTCAGTTTGGCAGTGTGCTTCTGATGTCACATCCTGCCTCCAGAGATCAACCAACTCTTTTAGTGTGTCTCTTCTTACCTGCTTGTGTTGTCATAGGTGGGGCTTTTTCAGACTCAGCAGGCGTCGGTAACTGTGTGACAGGGGCCGGCTGCAGCTGCTGCTGCTTCAGGCTGGAAACAAACTCTTCATGCTGAGTCTTTAGAGCCGCAATCTGCTGCTGGAAAGCCAACTGGATGGGTTGCACCACACCTGCGTACTCGGTTATAAGAGATGCCTGAGAGGTTGAACAAGAGGGTGGAAACAGACACAAAGTTATCAGGACATGAAAACCTGCAAGGCTCCACTTTTCTGATATGTTGTATTCACATGGTTTATGGGCAGATGACACACTAGATTTGACAGGTGACAGAGTTAGATTGTTAACTTTAAACACACTTACGTAGAGTTTGGTTCACATTTTTGAAAGCTTTGGCTTTAGCATTGATCCTATCCTCTGATTGTACTGTTAAAGCTAATAAAAGATACCAGGCTGACTTCAAATCAAGGAGTCTTTATTTTGAGTCCTTCAGATGTCCGGAGATTTGCACAAGACTGTAGACCGAACACATGGATCAGTCCGACTGTTTACTGACTCCATCGATAGGATCTAGCACTCTTTAGACTCCACATTTTTGTAGAGAGTCATCAAATTACAGATGTCCTTGGTCAATCGTCTATAGAAGACATTAACAACTTCTCCATGGAAACCGGACACAAAAAGCAGACGAGTGACTGCAGTTCTCTTCACTCACCTGGTATTGGCCGAGGCCAAGTGCTGGATTCTGAAGCTGCTGAATAGTCTCCTCATCAAAGTACCCGTTCTTCTCCCAAAGCTGCAACAACTGGAGTGAAGAAGGGAAAGTGTAAAAAAATAACGTGAGGCATGGGAGCAAGTTTAAGTTCACAGACTTTCCTCTTGAATAATGGAACAGCAGGAGTTACACAAAGAAAGACCTCAGCTTATAAAAGCTGTAGCTTGTGTTGTTGTATTTGTTTGAATCAATGTTTAAAATAGCAGAGTTACTTTTATATTGTTCAGCACATGAATGAAATCTGAAAATAAAAGTAACATCAAAGTAACATCCATAATTATACTAATTATAATATCAAATCTTTAAAGTCAGTGTAATAAAATGTGGATTAATTTTAGTTTAGGAATTCAGACTCAAAGGAGACAGTTTAAGTGTCCTGAGATGTGTGCTTCGAAACTTACCCTGGTGATCTTCTGCTGCTTCTCCTCCTCCACGGCAAGAAAGCTGGTGCAATAGATGGGAACTACAACTTTTTGTAGTGCTGCTAACAAGTCCTTCTGCTGCTTCCGCTGGCTGAGAGATTGAAAGAAGACATCCACAGATAGTGAATAAGTAGTGTTAAGTGTCTTTGCAAAAGAAATTAGGCAAAGTTAAAAAGATGTTTGGTGGCTAGTACTGTAGCTAGGACCCTATATGTACTGTTGATGAAGTTAGGTGCTGTTCTGAGCATTATTTGTGGCTATAGAGTAGTGTTTGGTTGAGGTTTGTTTATGGCTCCTCAGACCGCTGTGTATTGCTATCCCGCAGTCGTTACGAAAGTTGGTATAACTAGAGATCTCTGGGGGGGGTCTAACTCTGTGTTATGGTGTGTTTGACACTAAATTAATTTTACGCCGAAAGTATCGCTTTAAGACCACATGACCCTGTCCCCACAGTCACCTGACCTGAAACCACTTGAGTTGGTTTGGGGTTGAGTTGGACATCAGAGTGAAGAAAACGCACCCATACACCATACATACACACACACACTTTGTTTTTGTAATTGAAGACTAATTAAATACAAATATAATGTTCTGTGTGTGTTCATTACGGTACTTGTACCAGTGGTGGAGAACATCGTTGGTTAGATAGATGAGGTGTAGGCGAAGTTCAAAGTGCGCTCCATCAACAGTGATGCGGTTGCGAAGATGTGATGTCATCAGTTCACAGTGAGGTGGACTCTTGGCGTTGTTAAACATCCAGTTCTTCCCAGCCTGAGAGAAAAATACAGAGAGTAAGATAGCTGTGACCTAAACATAGGCACTTATAATAAATGATAAAAGCTGAGTTATGATCAGGCTTACAGAGATGGCATCTTTGGTGCAGGTGTCTATGATGGGCTGCAGAAGGTTGTCAAACTCAGTGATGTCCAATTGAGTCTCCAGCAGGAGTTTTTGGGTCTGCTGCTCCATGGCCAGAGCAATGGCTGCAGTCACTTGCTCCTACATTGAGGAAGACAAAAAGAGTACAGTGAGATTTTTGCGTTTGATGAAAATGGTTCATACAGTAACTGTTACCAAATAATTCAAGGCACACTTATAACCATTAGGGCTTCCACAGCCTCATGTTATAACAGCTGGTCTGCGCTTGGTGGGACCAGCTTTGTATTTTCAACAAGACAGCGACACATCCAGGCTGTGTATGAGCTATTTGATCAAGGTGGACAGTGCTGGAGTGCTATGTCATATGACCCAGTTCCCACAGTCACCTAATCTAAACCCGCTTGAGTTGGTTTGGGGTTGAGTTGGATGTCAAATTGAAGGAAAAGCAGCCAACAAGTTCTCAGCACTTCTGGGAATTCTCTCACAAACTGTCAGCTCATCTAAATACAAATACACTACGAATACACTCCTCCCAGGAGAGGATGTCACCTGTGCCGAACTCATACTGTCTTTGTTGCTTGTACCTGTCTGAGAGTGTGCAGGTGCTGCTCCTGCTGCTGTAAATTCCATTGGCTCTGTTGAATCAGTTCATCAAGAGAGGGTCCAGAGGGTGGAGGAATTTGAGGAGGAGCAATTATCGGTATGGATGGAGGAGGAATGTCGACCACATCTTTAGCACCCGGGTTGTAGATGTCTGCAAAAAGAGTATAAAATTTCAAGTTAAGTTTTGATGTGAAGACAAAGTTTGATTTTTGAGCTGAGGCTTTGACAGATAAGGGTGAATAACTGCTGACTTGATGCAGGAACCTAAAGAGAAAGATGTCCTGAAAACTGCACTGCTTTTAACTCAAAATGACCTTCGAGGATATAAAAAAGGAAAGAAAAGTATCCTTCAAACAGCAGGCAGATGAAACATACCAGGAACTAAAGGAAAACTCAACAAAATTTCGGAGACATGCAATCTGCATTAGCACAACCACCACTCTGTTCTATCTAACTCTACTCCAGTAAGGACGAGGAAACATTCAAATGTCATGAAACATGACACGCACCGGGACTTCTGGGAATCTATCAGTCTTTTCAGTTTGTTCCTTTACACTCATCTTTACAAACTTACACACACTGACTACACAAAAGTCTCTAGACCATAACTACGACAGAAATTCTGGGCAGAACAATGTTTAATGTTTCAGCTTTGGGCACTTTATATTCTTGACATGAGATAATGCATGACCTCACTTGACATCTAAAACATATCTCATTATCATATACCCGCTGAGCATTTTCTGGTCTAACAGAGGTCTAATTGACGTCTAAATGTAGCCTAGACCAGTGGTTCTCAAGTTTGGATGCATGTTTTGGATGTTTCCCTGCTCCAACACACCTGATTCAAATGATCAGCTCGTTATTAAGCCATTGCAGAGCTTGATAACGAGCTGATCATTTGAATCAGGTGTGTTGGAGCAGGTAAACATCCAAAACATGTAGGACAGTGGGCCTCGAGGACTGGACTTGAGAACCACTGGCCTAGACGACTGGTCTAAAATTCGGCTACCACAGATCGAGGAACAAAAGTTTTTTTAGACGTCTAAATTTAGACTAAGTTTAGACTAAATCTAAATCTGGGTTATATCTAAACTACACTGCATATTAGCAACGTCTAAATTCCATCTAAATGTATACAGAATCTAGACAGTTGAAATTGGGTCTTTAAGAAAAACTAGACGTCTACTGCCCGTCTATTTCTCAGTGGGTAAGCTATCAGGAGTCGTGTTTTTCAAAGAGTAACCCAGTTGCTGTAGCTACAACCTGAGTTTATGATATTTCAGTGTAAATGCAGTGAGTGATCGTCTGTGTCAATGAGGTCAAAATATTTGTAGTTCATTAAAATAAGTTGGAGAGGTGTTCTCCTCCAATCCTGCCAAATTATCATTGTGAAACTACTTTTGTTATTGTGATGGGGAAAAGGTCACTGTTGACTTTAAACAGTCAACAGAGAAACAGAGATAAATTACACAGGTTATAAATCAAAGACTTGGATTTTATGTGAAATATTGATACCCCAAAATCACCAAACAGCAACTGCGTTAAGTCTTGGGACTAAAAGTCATATTCAGACTTGGCCAAAAAGAAGTCAACACAATCCTCTTCCAGTTTCTTGGAGCATATGTACAAATTTATAGATGGAGAATTGAGCCAATTTTAAACAACAAGATCTGGAGGATACATCCATCTGAGATATCATTTCTTTGATATCTCCAGTCAAGTTTCACAACTTTAAAAGGAAAATGATTCTGACATGAAAAGTGCAACTGAAAACAAAGCAAATGTTTGGAAGCAGGGGTGGAGTCAAGTCCATATAAAAATGTGCAAAAGCAAAATGGGACTTTCCAACTGGAAGTCAGAGTTTGTTGGAAAAAAATCTGGTTACAAATAAATACCTTCAGATTTAAATTCCTCCCCATCGTGGGTAGAGGGATCTAAATAGAGAAAAAGCAAACTTTAATGCATTTCAGTAATATAACATGACTAACACAGAAGAACCTCATGCAACCCTGCACTGCTGCGCTAATATTGCCAGACTGCCCATTATCTGAAGTGACCAAAACTTTTCTCTGGATAATGAAAGAAGCTGATTCTCCCTTTATGGGGAAAAAAAACAGGCTTTTAAAGTTTGATGAGTCAAAACTGCAACTAAACACAATTCTCTGGTAAAACAGTTGAATAATGTATCTGACCCAATCAATCAAGTAGCTGAGTGTACTCAAACAACATAACAGAGAGTAATCTTCTCATTTCGCAATTGGTGCTCCCTTAGTTTAGCTTCCCTTTTCTGCAGGCATCATTCCTTAATATGTATCCTTGAATTTTTTTGTTTGTTTGTTTTTATTCTGCAATTTCCATGGTCATCAACAGATTTTCGAAACATGAACAGGGTTTTCAGGTCCTGGGAAATAATCAGTCGGGTGTTTATGTAGCCTTTCTAGCATAAATTGAGGTGCTGTGGTTTGGCGTAAAAATTCAATCCGTATCAGATGACAATACCAGCAAGTTTGGTTAGGTAATACACAGGTGTGTTGCCCTGTAGAGAGCTGCTAATCCACAAAAACAGTAGTAAACTGAAGCAGACTACCTTTGAGGATTGATATGCTTGAGCATTAAGAGCAGAGAACTGAAGAACGTGGTGAAATAGTCAAATGCTGAGTACAAGTAATTTCAAAAATAGCTTTTAAAAAACAGTGTATGGATGGTAAATAAAGTGGCAGTGCTCATGTGCTGTTCTCTTTCAGTGGTCTTGTACTTCGAGGGTTTGGTCTGTGAGTCTTGCAGAAGACAGATCAGGCAAATGTAATGGTGTAGGTTCATGCCGTCTTTATAACTTAAGAAGTCAAGAAGTCTTGTCTCCCCTCAAATCCAAGTTCCAACAAAAACCAGAAGATGGGAGCACATCACCCATGCTTGGTCAATCGCAGTTATCAAAACAAGCAAGAAGAAAGGGTTGAAGACTCCCTGCTATCATTACAGTCTGCTGTTGGGGAACACTTCAGCTTCCCAGTGAAACACAATACAATGAGACAACAGCCAACATTGTTCAAGAGTAGTGAGGCACATTTCTGACAGCATGTCTAACTTGAGAATAAAATAATTATTATCTGCACAAACACAGTCCACACATCCCATGAGAAACAACTATCAGCTGACGATCAAATGAAGGGCAGAGATACAGATACTACAGCGAACAATTATTTTAGAGTCAGTGAGCGGCTTTATCTGAAGTCAGAGTCAGTACACTATCCTTCAACTGAGATTGGAAGGATAGTTTCATTGGATAACCTCAAGAGTAATTCCAAGAAGGTGATTAACTTCTTACGAAGAAATGCCTAACCTGCTCCAGAACAACTTTTGTTCAGGATATAACATAAGTTTGGAGAAAACTTTAACCAGTCAATATGCTTGATCATTGAGCTTGGTGTACAGGTCGAGAGGGGTTAAAGAGACGCTGACAAAACACCTCGCTCAGCTCCCTTTTACCTATGGAAGACAGAAGAATACCATAAACATGATCTTGAAAATGCTGGTGATTTCTCTGAGCCCAAGCCTGTTCAAGGTGGAATAACGTTCTCCCATCTATAGAGAAGAGGGACCACCAGGATTGTTACCAGATCATGGCTGTAAAGCCAGCATCTCTGGTTGTATGGTATGCACAAGAGGCCATGGCGTGGCTAGTTTGCACATCTGAGATGGCATCATGAAAGTTGAACAGGGTTTTAGAGGGAAAGAATGGTATGTGGCCATTCAGTCAATTCCATCCCAGGGAAGACTGCATTATACAGCAACAAGACGCCAAACTACATTTTGCAAGTATTACAACAGCATGACTGTTGAAGAAGAGAGTGGGTGCTGAACAGGCCAGCCTGCAGTGATGTGTCAAACACAAAGGAAACATTTGGTAAATCTCACCACAAAAGTAAGACAAAGGAAACCCAAAGTTTCTGAGCAGCTGAAATACTCAATTAAGACAGACCTCGAACCAGCGAATATTTCACTCCCCAAACTCCAGAAACTAGATTTCTATGAAATCAGAGTATATCTTTTATAAAACTATACTTTTTTTTTCACTTTTAAAATTCTGTATGCTTAAGAACATCTCAATTCCTTAACGTGAAAACATTAGCTAGTAAATGGATATGGCTTTTGCTTCCACTGCTTGTTTGCTTGAAAACACACTGGCTGGAAAGCAGACATAGAGCTATTATGGGTGACAATTTAGCAAAATGATGTGGATAAGTTTGAGAAGCTAGAGTGCAGAATTTAATTGACAGGCTTTTTACAAAGGCATACTTCGAAAGCCTACAATCACAAAGGCAAGAAAACATACATGAAAGTTTCCTTGAAGCTCATAAAAAGAATTGCTGTTATGTTTGTCAACTTGATCATAAACGCTGCTGGCCTAGTGGTCTATACACGTGCAGCATAGAGGTCAGCTGGCCAAGGTTTGCCTTAAGCCTGTGACTCCTTTCCTGCATGTCACTCCCCACTCTCTCCCCTTATGTCCTTCTCTGACCACCATCCTGTCCTCTCCAAACAAAGGAAACAAGTCATCTGAAGTAGCTTGCTGCTTGATCCAGCAGTGCGCTCTTATCATTGTCCGACCATTGCATGGCACTCTCGACCTCAGTATACTAATACAGTTGTGATTTTCTACAAACATGGAGGATGTGTGGTGCAATCAAAGCCATCCTAAGTGAAAAGTTACAAAAAAAACCTCCCAAAAAAACACTGGCCAATCAGATCACCAACAAGCTTTCTGTTTAGTGTGAATATTGTTATAGTTGAAGCTACAGTTGTTGAAATTGTCTCCTATTCTCTGACTTGTCTCCTCTCTTTATATTTTAGAGGATGAGAACACAGGATTTGACATTTTCTTCACAAGGAGTTTTCATCTCAAGTGTTTTTTAGTGGCTGGCATTTCTTTTTTGTTTTGCTATTGTTAAAACCATAAAATGATGTAACTGTTTGGCATCTATGCAGGCATTTGAACTTTACTTATCTATCACTCTCAGTACTTTTGGGGTACATACTAATAAACTAAAATTACAAACAGACTGAACATTCTAACCTTTTTTTTTTTTCTGTGCAAATGGTTTTATGGTGGACTATTCCTTTAACTACTTACGCTGCTGTTGCTCCATGGCAAGCTTGCACTTGTAGTAGCTGAAGTAGTCACCGCCAAAGAGGAAGGAGAACTTTGGGTTGTCCTTTTGTTTCTCCATCGTCATTTTCTCAAACTCTGGTCCATTGCGAGCAACAAACTGGGCCAGCTTGTCAATGACATTCCTCAGTTCTTGATCTGCACCATTGAAGGGAAGAAGAGAGAGATGCAAAGATTTGTTATAAACTTGAAACAAAGAGGGAACACCTTAAAAGGGAAAAAGGAGTGATCTTAGCTTCTTAGAAACGATTGGTCCAATGCCTGTTATTGCTTGTTATATAAAAGGACAAAGCCTCTTCTGTCTACTACCATCCAAACTTAGAAATCTTGGAGTTATTTTCGATCATTGCATGAACTTTGATCACCATATAAAACAGTTGTCCCGGTCATGCTTCTTCCATCTACGTAGCATTGCTAAAATTAGGTCTTTTGTGTCACATCCTGAACTTGAAATTATCATTCATGCTTTTGTTTCTTCCCACCTGGACTACTGTAATTCACTTTTCACCTGTCTTTGTAACTCCTCCCTTCATCGCCTGCAATTAGTCCAGAATGCTGCCACAAGACTGTTAACCAAGTCCAGCCGGACAACCCACATCGCCCCAGTTCTGTGTCCCCTTCATTGCCAGTGACATTCAGGATTAATTTCAAGGTTCTTGTTTTTGTATATAGAGCTCTGCATGGTCAGGCCCCTGAATATATCACTGACCTGCTTCACCCCTACATTCCGAGTAGGTCACTCAGGTCCGCAGACCAGGGCTTGCTTGTTGTCCCTTGAACTCATCGAAAAACAAGAGGTGACCACGCTTTTGAAGTGGTGGCTCCAACACTGTGGACAATTTACCTGCTGAGATTCGTTCAGCTGTTTCCATGGTCACTTTTAAAAAGCTTTTAAAGACTCGCTTATTTAAGCAGGCCTTTACCTCCCCCTGTTATAACTAATGCTCTATTTATGCCATTGTTTGTTATTGTTCTTTGATTTAACTTGATGTTTACGATTATATCTTGAATTTTTTATTGTGAAGCACTTTGGGAATCTTTTCTATGAAAGGTGTTGTATCAAATTAATTTTACTTACTTAGGTACTATCTGGGAGAAGGTACGAGAATCTGCCAGTACACACTAAAAGACTGAAGAATAGTTACTACCCACATGCAGTTCCCTTACTTAACTCCTGACAGTACCACCGGACAATACTCTGTGCAATAACCCACTTGACTGTGCCATATTTTCTGCGATGTGCAGTACAGCAATTCATACACCATTATTTATCAGGTGCAATACAGCAATTTTCATACCTCATTTATCCCACTGACTTATCCTCAATTTCATACATACACACTCAGCACCTACTGCATCGCTTGTTCACTTTGTAAATATTCACTTGTAAATATTCCTTGCACTTTATATTTCTCTTATACTTTTATTCATCTTTAAAATTTTTTGTATCCTTATTTTATTGTATTCCTCTCAGTATTTATTGTGTTTTATCTGTACTCCTTTGAGTTGAGCAGTCCTCTCATCCAGGGCATTTCATTGCAGTGTTGACCTTGTTTAACATGCACATGACAAATAAACAAATCTTGACTCTTAAAATTTTGATAATAGATAGAGGTAACATTACCAAATTTGACCAATTTACCAATATTTCGTGGTGTAGAGGAAAATCTATATAAATACATGAACCGATGAAACACGTGTCGCTACAGACATCGAATAGTTTTATGGATCGTATGAGTATGTATTTATCTATGTAAAAATTATAACTCAGAGTAAGAGCATTTAATTCGTAGTTTGTTCCGAAAATAATGAAGCATCAGCTGCTTGACTGAATGTGTCAGATCGCATTTGCTAAGATGATCAATACTGTTGTAGAGTAACCTGTAAATATAGCTGTTAAGACCATTTAACCCTGATTTTTCAGAGACCTCGGATGAAATGGTGACTATATTCAACTGTTTGGACAGACATAGTGCAAGAAGCGTTACTGAAAGACTCTAAATCAGGTGGGGATGAGAGCTGAATTGTGCAGCAGTAGCTATAGTAGCATGTGATGCTACATGACGATCAATGAAAATCATGTTATACTGCAGCGGGGGGCTCACCTTCAGGGGGATTTGGAATATCCATGTTTGGCGAATCTCAATCCTGATAAATAATGCTGAGAATCCGACAATTGTTGCGTATTTTACGGTAACATTTATATAATTGCCATACAGATGATTTGGTTTCCCTGTGGCTGACACCGGAAGTATTGTTCAACAGAAGCTGCGCCCCGACAATCGGTCGAGTAATTTGGCTGCAGCGCCCCCTGACGGTAGAGTTCAGATATTTCCAATTTTAAAAAATAGCTAATTTTGGAAAGAATTGGAAAAATCAGTTTAAGGAAAGGAGTAATGGTGAAGGCGTTTGAGAGAGGAGATTAAAGTTTGGGATTGAAGATGTTTTTAAGAGGAGGCTCAAGACTCACCTTTGTAACCAGGCTTTTCATTAATTGCTTTTTTATATTTCACCTATTGCAAATGTTCATTTTAATCAAAGTTCTTAATGATTCTTTTATGTCACTTTATTAGTTATTGTTCTTAGTCTTTTTCTTAATTCCCATCATAGAGGTTTTTACTCTTTTTACTCCTTTTACATGGTAAAGAGCTCTTACTTATCTCTTCATTTAATACTATTTTCTTGTTTTAGTCCATCAGGTTTTAGTCTTTTTACCATTTTTATTTTTATCCCCAGTGTTTCCCAGTAGTAGCTCTTTCCTCACGTGATATCTTGGTGTCAGGCCATGTCCCCTGAACAATCTTGAGTTAAAAAAGCTGAGGACACACTGAATCTAGGACTAAAACGTTAAATCCATGATAAAATATTATAAAGGTGATACAGCATTAAGAGTTAATCAAATAAAATAGTCTTAAAATCAAATAATAAAAGAAAGTAAATGAAAAAAAGAGGTAACAAAACACAAAATAATTAGTCCATGACTAAAATAGCATAAAATCACATAATGCAGATTAAAAGATTAAAACAAAATTCAACCAAAAGCCAGACTGAAAAAGGTAGGTCTTTAGCTTATTTTTAAAAATATGAACAGTAGGTGTCGCCCTCAGGTCTGCAGATAGGCTGTTCCACAGATGGGGACCATTAATTTGAAATGATGATTCCCCAAATGTTTTAGTTTTTACTTTGGGAACAATTAAAAGACCACTACCTGAAGACCTGAGGGCTCTACTAAGCTCATACGGTGAAAGAAAATCAGACAAAAAAGAGGGACCAAGACCGTTAAGAGCTTTAAAAAATAATAAAAGAACCTTAAAGTCTACTACAAAAGATATGTCTGCAAAAAGTTTTTTCATATGGACCAGAATCTCTAAAACAGACATCATGAATCATTCACTGAAGAACAGAGGACCAACAACATCCCCCTGAGGTGTGCCATTCTCTGCTCCCGCAAAACAGAACATCTTTGATCCAGTTAAATACTAAAAAGATTGACTTCAAAGAAAAGGGTGATCAAAGAGCTGATAGGTCTCTTAGTTATTGTCATCTTTCATTTCTATATATTACACAGAAATACAATATTCACCACAGTTTGTATACTACCACACTGACACAAACCAGTTGACTGTTTGTCTACAACCTTTAGATAATGGGCTAGACCCCAGTGGCCAAGCCTTAACCTTTTCACAACAACATCGTCTCTCCTTCAAAGCTTGATATTAGTCTTTTCATTTAAGCACAAAACTGAAAATTGAAATCTTCAGTGGTCTCTCTGTCACTGTTATTATCATAATGCTGCAACTTTGAGGAACTATGGCGAAGAATTACTTTTACTTTGAAGGAAATTACCCGGAAAAGCGACACCTAAGCGGAAGTGGAAAGCCTCAAACTCAATCATGTGTAGTTGCTAGACAGGCACCCAGACCAGGCTCGTTTCGTGGGAGTTGTGTGAAAGTCTGTAAGGTTCGTATGTCATGCGTGTGTTTTTTTTTCTGTATTCTGTGTTAAAGGGGATTTGAAGGAATGTGTAGCTACTTTCGGGGGAGGCTTAACCCAATAAGCTAACAGCCTCAAAACAGTCATGTTTTCATAACCACGGCCGGTGACATAAGGATACCCGGAGTCTGGTAGTGTTACGAGTGTCGGAAACGTGGCCGCGTAGCCGGTTTATTTGGATTTTTATGTCCCTGTTTCGTGGACCAGGATCGTGGAGCGATTTAAGCTTTATGGATGATTTGTGAAATCTACCCTGGCCGGATAAATACAATGACTTATTTCTATATTCTCCACAATTTTCTTTTCTGTTGTACCTTAACACAACAGTGGAAAGAAAGTATTGCTTCCAACCTGTGATCGATTATTTATTTATTAATTTCTGTAAAAATATTTTCACATTAAATTGTACGGTGGCGAACAACCGCCACTGCTGCACATAAAAAATAAATAAATTAATAAAAAAAACCCAACAACAACCGAAGTTACTAATGCAAAAAAATAAAACAAATAAAAAATAGAAACCGAAGCCCGCTGCAAATAAAAAAACAAATGGTGCAGATTAAAAAAAAAGCCACAACGGAAGTCAATGACGCAAAAAAGTGGCAATGCAAAACAAAAAAAAGTAACTCCCCCATTATTTTTTTTTTTTTTGCGTCAACAGTAACTTCAATTGTGACCTTGTTTTTTTATTATTTTTTTGTCTTCGTTTTTATTCTTTTATTTGCAGCAGTGGCAGTTCTTGGCCATCGTAAAATTCATGAAATCATCTGTAATAATAGTATGGCAATTAACAATCTGAAGGATGTCTGGCATAAATATTGATGAATAAAGTCAGAATCAAGCTGACTGTCTAGTCCATCTTGGTAAACTAATTTAGAAACTGAAACTTTGATAATTGTCTGATCATGCTCATGTTAGGATATAAAAGAGCAGTGGAATATTATTTTGTTAAATGTGTATTACATTCATTCATCTGAATATCAGAATGTACAAATCATTGAAACTTTTGTTTTTCAGCACTTGAGCTTGAAAAATGTATATGAACCTGATGAGCACAATTCTCTCTCTCTCTCTCTCTCTCTCTCTCTCTCTCTCTCTCTGTCTAGCAATAATGGCCAGTGGTGAGCAGGTGGCAGCAATAGGAAAGGTTTTGGTGGACCCAGGACTGAACCTGACACAGCGGTTCAGAGCTTTATTTACCCTGAAGAACCTTGGAGGTAAACACAGACACAGAAATTTAGGAAATCATTTTAGAAATGAGGTCCCAATAACAGGTAACAGAAGGACCAAAACACAAGCGTGACCAGACAGTACTCAATAGCAGTAAAGCAGCTTTAAAGTCCAAGAAAAGTCTGATTGCTGATCAAAACGTTCCACAGTTTTTTTTTGTACCATACCACGACCTTAATTCTTAGCGGAGCAAGTTTGGTGTATGGTTGTGCTTAGAGTTGCAGACACTTGATCAGAGGAGAGACACAAACCTGTGGTCTGGTTTACATGTTGTTGGTAAACTTTTTCAGTGTTTTTTTATAAGCTGAGACATTTAAGAACATGTTTATCAAGTCAATTTCTCAATAATGAATGCGCCATGCATATTATCTGCACTACCAACATTTTACTGTTGATAGTTCAAATGACACAGTTATTGTGTGTGGTCTTCATAATGAGCACTCTCAGTCTGTGCTGTGTGAACTGATGCAAACTGTCTATGACGTCAGGTGCCGAGGCTGTAGAATGGATCAGTAAGGCCTTCAGCGATGATTCTGCCCTGCTGAAGCATGAACTTGCCTACTGCCTAGGACAGATGCAGGACAGACATGCCATACCAACTCTGACTGCTGTACTTAAAGACACATGCCAGGAGGCAATGGTCAGACATGAAGCAGGTAAATGTACATTGAAGCACACACCAAGTTTGAAGTGTGGGGAAGCAAAACAAGGGTCCATGCCCTTTGGGTTTGTATGATCAGATCCCAGGCTTCCTCTGTCTACATGTCCAGATGTTCTTGGGTAAGATACTCAGCCCCAAACTGCTAGAGTGAAGGCTGATATGTGAAAACACCTTGAGTAGTGGGAAGATTGGAAAGGCTATATATAAATACATTTCATTAACCATTTATTTAAAGGCTTAGTGTGTCAATACTGGAAATATTTAGTGAGATCCAGCAGTAAGACTTTAAATGTCCCTATTTATCATACATTGTAACTTCAGTACTTAGCTGTACAAGAGCTAAGACAAACAGTGCAGTGTGTCAAAAGAAATCTAACTGTGTCTACCTTCAGGAGAGGCTTTGGGAGCCATTGGTGATCCCACGGTACTGGACCTCCTCAAAGAATACAGCCAGGATCCTGTCATAGAGGTACGAACGAAAAACTTGAGCATCTCGAATACGTCCAAGAGCTGAGAGTTGAGAGTTATGTGACAGTTTACATGTGGTGATGAGTGGCTCATGATTCAATTACTGCAACAGTTGGGGAACAGTTTTAAGGAGGTGCATTGAGCAAAAAGCTCCTATAAGCAGTTCCACATCCAAGCTTATTTAATCATATTTCTTACTTGTTCTTAAACTTTGGCAAGTATTCTGCAGCTAGAAAGCAGTTTGCACAACATGTTGAAGATACAGCAGTCCATAACCAACTTTAGTGGCATCTGCAAGGGTCTCGTGCCCCTAAACTTTGTATTGACCTAAGCTCATGTTGAAGTGAAATTAAAAGCTGTTTGAAAGGAGGGGCAGAGCACACACACTGCTGCAAATTCAGAAAGGAGGGTGCGTTTGATTTAATAGGATGAAACAAGCACAACACGGCAGGCTGCATAGTAATTAATCAGTCTGGTTTATCATATTTTTATGATCACAGGGAGCCACAGTCACAATTGAAATTCGAGTCATCCCCTCATATCCCTTTAAAAAATACATAAAAGACAAGAGACTGCTCGAGCACAAAGCTTATTTTCCATAGTGGTGCTGGTTTGGTTTTGTTCTTCACTGCCATTGGTACCTCATCCTTTTTTAAACTAACAGCTTTTATTAAAATTCCATGTTTGATATGCAAAAACTTCAGCCTGTTGCTCTATCACTAACATAGCCAGATGCACATTCTCATACTATTTTTACCATTTGCTCCTGTCACTTTTTTCATGACCCCTGCAGGTTGCAGAGACGTGTCAGCTGGCTGTTCGTCGGATAGAGTGGCTGCAAAGCGGAGGAGAGAAGCAGTTGGATGATGCAGGAGCAGATAAAAACCCTTACTGCTCTGTTGATCCGGCTCCCCCAGCTGTGAGGAAGAGTGTGCCAGAGCTTCGCATCATTCTGCTGGATGAGAGTCTGCCACTGTTTGAGCGTTACAGGGCCATGTTTGCCCTACGCAACCTAGGCAATGAAGAGGCTGTGCTAGCTCTGGGAGATGGTAAGAAATGACACTGAAGAGTTATTTTTACATTTGATTTATACTTCATACTTTTTGTTTTTATGCTGAATGTTTACTTTTTTATTTAAACTGAATTTTTACTGTAGCACCATGGTCCCTTGAGTAAGTCAATTTCAATCCTCTGTATGTATTACACATACTGCAGGATTGACAATAAAGCTATCTTGAACCTTATGTTCTACCTTTCTATCAATGCAGTTGTTGTGAGAAGCACAACTGAAGCTCGAGATCTGGCAACCTGTGGTGGTCCCTTTTGATTTTTTTTATTTCAGGTTTTATTTCTTTGTGATATGAAATAAAATCAAGGCCTGTAGCTTTTGCTATGAACTTTGAACTACATCATAGAGATTTCATTGGTTTGTACACAACATTGATGATAACTGCCAATATCAACTTGAACTCATAGAAACCAGATATAACAAGATGATTTGATCTATGCTTGCTTGGTTTTTTCAATGTATTTAATTTTATGTAGCTTCAGGTTTTGTTCTTATTTACTGTTTCTGTAACTTTTTGGAAACTACATTGACATAGACTGTGACGTAGGTGCTGAGAATTACACTAACATTTAGCATATAATGACAGGTTTGCTCATGTTATGACCAGGTGTTTTCTGGGAATGATCCACAAAGCAGCAATTAGAATGCGCTAATGATCGCATCAGTGGTATCACATGTGAAGCATACCTGCAGCGATAAAGTGCTTGATCTGCTCAATAAGTAATCAAAATTTCTTGTCATGTCTTGGTCTCCAGGCTTGCAGTGCTCCAGTGCTTTGTTCCGTCATGAGATTGGCTACGTCCTAGGTCAAATGCAGCACCCTGCGGCTGTCCCCGCCCTGCAAGCAGCTTTGGAGCGTTGCGGTGAGAACCCCATGGTCCGCCATGAGGCAGCAGAGGCCCTTGGCTCAATAGGCAAAGAAGAGTGTCTGGCTGTGCTGCAGCGTTTCCGAGAGGACACAGAACGTGTGGTCAAGGAGAGCTGTGAGGTTGCCCTGGACATGTTGGACTATGAAAATAGTGACCAGTTTCAGTATGCTGATGGACTGGTCAGATTACAGGGTTAGAGCGCAATTCTACCTGGATCTGTCTTTTATTTAACACTTTTACTCTCTGTGTTATTTCAGTATGACAAAACTGAGAGAGTAGGACAACCTAGTGCTACTCTTGTGAAATGGTTGGATTTTCTGGAATGATTCTTTCCATTATTAAAACTGCTGAGCACATAAAACCAAAAGATTAAACTGTCAAAGTCCACACAAACAAAACAGGTTATTTAGCTGCCTGTGTTTTGGAGTGTTGTGTGATGATGTGAATGAGAAGGAGCCCATTGCTAGATCAGCTGTGGGTTGGAAGTTAATAAGCCTGACAGAAAATTGTGACTTTTCGGTGGAAGGGCTTGTCCTTTGCAAGCGTATTTCTTTTGCCCGAGTACTTTTTTAAAATCAGTTTTAGGTTTTTGGCTGGGTGCTGCGTGGGATTATGAATAGCAATGACCGCAAATAGGCTGTCATTGATAAACTGCTGTGGGCTGCCAGGTTACATCAAACATGTCTTTTATCATTCCCAGCTAGGTGTGCGATGTTTGTCAAATTAAAGCCATCCTCTGAAAACTTCTGGTGTCTTGATCAGAGATTCTCAGTAAAACTTGAATTCCCTAAATAAATTACTCAAATTTTCAAAGCAGGAATGTAAGATACATTTTTCTTAATAAATTTGTTTTTGATGAGTAGACCAGGGTGATTAAAGTTATATTTTGCTGAATGTTTCTCTGTATATACTCAGTGAAAGGCAACACATTTAATCAATAAATGTTCAATAATGTTGTTTGAAACCCTTACACTTTTGATCATGTTTCTCCACATCATCATCTGACGTGTCAACTGCCATAGCATAGATTAGTGGTTTGGTTCAGTGTATTTAAGGCTCCTGGGAACAGTGGCCGAGAACCACCACTGCTGCAAATAAAAAAGTATGCAAAAAAAAAGAGACAACAGAAGTTACTGATGCAAAAAAAAAGGAACAGAAGCCCGCTGCAAATTAAAATAAAAAAATTCACAATGGAAGTTAACGACGCAAAAAAAGTGGTGATGCAAAAAAAAAAAATGTTAGTACTGCGAAAATAAAAGGATGCAAATAAAAAAAAGCCATGATGGAAGTGAGCTGCCAGGGACCGATAATGATGATGCACCGGTGTTTTATGATCTAGGCACAGAAGAAGATAGCGAAAAGACGAGCAAAGACGTTAGTGGAAAGGTTATTATTTAATTTCGCTTCGTAAACTTTTCAATATTTCGTGTGGTTAGGCCATGTAGTGCCTGAGTTGATATGAAGTTGATCTGGAGGATGCCGGTGTAGTGTTAGCTTTGGCTGACATGGGAAACCCCCTACGGCCTGAAAGACCACCCACGAGAGGAGAATTGAGTTCGGTAGCTTTACCTTTCGGTTGCATTACTCATAGAAATAAGTATGCAGACCCCTCGCTTTTTTTATTATTAGCCCCCAGCAGCTACCTTCCATTGTTTTGTTTTTTTTGCATCATTTTATTTTTAGAGTAAGTAACTTGTTTTTTCCATCGCCACTTTATTTTGGGTCGTTAACTTCCGTTGTGGCTTTTAATCTGCACTGTTTCTTTTTTTTATTTACAGCGGGCTTTGGTTTCTTTTTTTTTTTTTTTTGCATCAGTAACCTCTATTGGTACTTTTTTTTTTTTTTTTTTGCATCCTTTTTTATTTGCAGCCGTGGCGGTTCTCGGCCACCATAGTTGGGTGATATTAAATAACCATAATTAAGTCTTGACTGATTAACTTTTGATTTGATCAAACTCTCAGAGGACAAAAGTGGTTAGATGCTGTTGGAGATCGTCCTGTTTTCTTCAACGGTGTGACAAGAAACTTAAATTCTATCTAGAGGTAAACATGCAGACAAATGGTATATTAGACCCAGTTGTTGATCATGAAAAAGGCAAATTCAGAAGGAATTATATATTTTTTAATGTTACCTTTAATGTATCATATTATCTTATATTAAAGTTTTTATATTTATTTTTCAGAGCTTTTAATCCAGTTAACGACTTTCGTTTCAATTTTTGCTTTTGGCAAAAATCTTATTTTTCGGCTCCACCGGGGGGCGGTACTGCCAAGGGTAGCAACCGTTGGGTTACTGTTACCATAGCAACCACTAAAGTTTGGTTGGAGTCCCCGGAACCTGCAACAGCATTTTAAAGCTAGTACTTGAGACACTTTGAAGCTCTTTCCTTAAAGCGTCGGTGTGCTGTGAGGGAAAAGTTGATTGACAAGAAAGATAAGAGGAGGTCAGGAGAGATGGAGACTGTGAACGGAAACCAAGACAGGAGTGAAGAAAAAGAGCGGACGGCTGAAGCGTTTAAGGCCTTTTTGTTAAAAAACAACCCGAAAAATAACCAGAACCTGTGAGTAAAGCGGGAATGATACTTTAAACATCTTTTGTTGACGCGTCTCAGAGCTAGTTTTCTCCGGCCACGAAGTCTACCACGGAAGCTATTGTATTAATTTAAGAAAAAAATACCAGCTCTGTTTTTCTAAATGAACGAGACAACTCTCAAAAACACGATGTTTTTTTCTTCTCAAGTGAATGCAATATGCGTCCGTCTTAGCAAGATTTATTTTAAATAAACAAACCAATTGAATAAAGTAAAACACAACGAGTCAAACATTTAGGCTGGCTGTATAAATACTTGATGTACATCTAATATGGAGCAACTTACATCAGTAGGGGAGAGTGGGGTAAGTTGAGTCACCCCCTGTTGCTTGGAAATGGTCAAAGAAATTGATCATGTGACCAAATATTTAGGAGATGGGCATCAATTCATGGAGTCTGTGAAAGTTAGAAGCACATCGGTATAGGGGTTAGACATTTATTTCCAATAAAATAAACATTTTTTCACTCTTAAAAGTGAATTTAGTCTGTCATAAGTTTAAATTTGTTTTATACATTAATTGTGGTATCTATGAGCTACAACATGAGGTCAAAAACCTGGCATAAAAGTCCACCATTTTAGTTTAGAGGACTAATAAAGTCATCATAGTAGTTCTGGGGTAAGTAGAGCCAGTGGCTCAACTGAGAAAGTAAAGAAGTCTGATGAGAGGATCAGAGTTTCAGTTCAGATTGCTGAAATGTGTTACTTTTTCTTTTCAAAAATATTGCCTTGATGTAGTGATCCAAAATATGAAAAATTGCTCATCTTACCCCACTCTCCCCCACCAAGAAAGCCAACAGCCTAAACACATTTAGACAATCATTTAAACTTCCATCAAACAGGAAACTAATGATGAGTATGTAATGTTTCAGCTATGACCATCTCACTCAGCTGCTGATAAAGGTGATGGATGAGCGTCCACAGAATGTGCTGGATGTGTTTGAGGATCTAAGCCGTGACGTAAAACGGGGTTTATTTGAGCAAAAGCAGAACACCCTACGAGACCTTCCACAGACTACAGCTGCTGAGCTGCTGGCTGAGCAGCAACGCCAGCTGTTTTCTTGTACAGAAGAAGCTGACCAGGAGGACGAGCTGGTATTGGCCATACACACATTCATGTTTTTGTGTTTTAAAGGGAAAAGGCATTTTGGTTTACCTGTGTAACACTTTGATTAAAAAAGAGATGATAATTTTTAACATCATATTTTCTTAATATTTTAACAGCAGTCAATTGACTTTAGTTCACAAACAATAACTTTACTGCTACTTGTTTGGACAATCATGAAAAATGATTTAGTCTTTTATAGAGCACCTTATATTGTTGTAGTGTTTGAGAAGACACTATCAAACTAACATGACTTGTTAATTTGCTACATGCCCTTTTTTCTTTAAAAGAGTACTGTTGGTATCTCTCTCATATATGGGTCTTTTTATATTGTAACACTTTTCATTGGTGTACTTCAGGTGGACACGCCTTTTCCTAATGTGAGTGAGATTGGCTTCTACCTGGAACAGGCTGGAGTGGGTCTGGGCAGAATGGAGATGCAAAGGGTCTTTCTTGCAATTCAGCAACTCATTAAGTCAGAAGCATTGCAGCATTGCCGATTATGGGGCAAAATTCTGGGAACACAGAGCAGCTACATTGTTGCTGAAGCAGAGTACAAGGAGGGAGAGGAGGAAGAAGAAGAGCAGAGCATCGAGGATACAGCTGTAGGTGAGACAGGAGAGGCTGGGGCCCAGGAGAATGAGGTGAGGAAACAGAAAGTCCTCAGTCAGTCTTTTTTTGTATTATTATTATTTTTTAATGGGTGGGACAGACCCTATAAGTAAGTACGAGTATAAAAATGCAGGATGCTAAGTTGCTGCTGTGAGCAACAATGCCACTTAACAATCAATGTTCACATTCTCCGATCATTCCAATCATATCATCCGTCAATGAAACTGAACAAATCCCATAGGTTAAATTTTACTGTAACCCTGACCATACGATAGGGCAATTCACTCATGGGCAAACATTCCAGTGTAGTTTAAACTAATCAAATAACATTTTAACAACAAAACTATTTTAGTATTTAAGGAATAATAAGAGAGATAGTTTGGTGTGGAGTTGAGAGGTCCTGTGGACAAAGCTGCACTTCTCTTTTTACTTTTCTTGTCCCTACATGCTGTGTAATGTTCACTTCATATTAACGTCTAGTTAATTAGTCCCTGTAAAACAAATGAATGACTCTACTTCCCCTGAATTGCTTTGTCAGAATCCAGCAGCAGTTACGGGCATTCACCATGACTACATATTGCCATTCTCCTAACTAGTTGTCTTATATGTCTAAATTGTTTCAGATTAAACGAGAACCTTTTTCTGAGAGTGCCTGGACAATATGGAGAATAATAAGTAACTGATTATCTTCTTGGTTTTCCTGATTTGTTTTCAGGAGGATCCACTGCCTCAGTCTTCTTTTAAACCCCCACCAGTAGTACCAAAGGAGGCCATTGGAACAGGTGCCAACAAGTGTGTGTACTATGTCTGCAGTGAGGCTGGTCTTCCTTGGGTAAAGCTCCCTTCAGTCACTCCTGCACAAATCACCATTGCTCGCCAGATTCGTAAATTCTTCACTGGGAAGTTGGATAACCCAATTGACAGCTACCCACCTTTCCCTGGCAATGAAGCTAATTATCTGAGAGCACAGATAGCTCGGATTTCTGCAGGAACGCAGGTTAGCCCTCGGGGCTTCTTCCAGGCTGGAGAAGAGGAGGGTGATGAGGAGGATGAGGCACCCCGAGACAGCTATGAAGTAAATCTTGACTTTGAGTGCATTCCAGTTGCTGAGATGGTTGAGTCTTTGTCCTCCTGGGTTCATCATGTTCAGCACATCCTGCAGCAGGTATAGGTCAATGCAGGTATATTGACTGGTGTATACATGTGATTACTTTTTATTTTCATGTAAGGACATAAATATGAACTTTTCAAGGGGCGCTGTACTTGGGTGAACCTTGCTGTAAAACCAGAAGAAGAAACTCATGATGATGATGAAGAAGAAGAGGAAGAAGAAGAAGGAGCTTTGACAGAAGTTGGACCCCCTTTGCTCACTCCCCTCACCCAAGATGCAGGTCAGACTTGGACATGTTCCTGCTAAACCAGCGAAGGTTTAAAAGATAACTACAGCATCAATGTTTAGCTCATTCAGTCTACTAAATTCGTTGTTGCTAATTTTTCCACTTTGTCTTTAACATTTGATTTAGCAAACTTTGATGATCAAGCTTTAAAGCTGATCACCTTTCAATATTGATCCATCTAATCTCAGCTGGGGACAATCTATATAATTTGGTGAACTCAAGTACTTTTGAATGCAGATTGACAACAAAATGAGAATTACAGTAATATACAGGGCTGATAACCAATTTTAACCATAATGTGTATTTTGTTACACTTGTAGGATGGTTTATAATAAAACAACATTGTCAGTTTCTTTTTTGTTTTGTTGATCAGCCGTATTGTTCCTCAATTTTTAAAACCATGTCTACATTGTTAAAGGCAGCTGAGTCTCTTTAATATTTTTGTGTTTCAGGATTGTTCAATACACCACCCTGGAGCTCCAAAATATCATCTGCTCTCACCAGGCAGCATGCAGTAGCTGTTCTGCGATCTAATCTCTGGCCGGGGGCATACGCATATGCTTGCGGCAAGTAAGTAAAAATATCAAAATATCAGAGGATTCTTAGTCTGTCTTTGATTTTTTTTTAAAGTAATACTATGCAATCAACTAACTGCTGTATTTATTTTAGGAAATTTGGGAATTTTTATGTTGGATGGGGTCTAAAGTATACAGGAAAAGGGTTTAGCCCATCTGTCCCGCCACTGCCACAAAAGGAATACCCAAGTGGACCAGAAATCACTGAAGCCCTTGACCCAACGCTGGAAGAAGAACAAGCTGAAAAAGAGGCTTTGGAAGAACAGCAGGCAGAACAAGAAAGTTTAGAGGAATCAGATGAAGAAGAGGAAGAGGATGACTGAAAAAACAAAAACCTTTTTTCAAGTTTTTCTACAATGGCTTGTGGTCAATGGCCAAATAAATTAATTTTCACAGCAACAGATTTTGATATTGTAATCTCAAGCAGGTGTTTAGTATCTATGGGGAGCAGTGTTTCAGTAAGTCTACTTTTTGTTGTAGTTTTGGAGGTACCCTGTGGGGTCTATTTTGTCAAATATTCAGAGAATTTCCTTGGTTTTTCTGGTGAATTAATGGCTAATGTCTATTCCTGTCAAACCCAAGGTGAAATGCCTGGGTTTGAAGGAAACACAAACCATAAATGAATGGGGGAACAATGATAGAATACTGAATAATAAAAAGTTCCTAAATCATTTGGAGGGAGCTTTATTTCTTTTTTTTAAGGAAATTATTATTCAAAGCTGAAGAAATATAAAAACTTGTTTATTTAATCCAGTACATTTTTATTAAAAAAGTTGAATTGTTACTTACGGTGGCCGAGAGCCGCCACTGCCGGAAATACAAAAGAAATGCAAAAAGGCACAGAAGACGACGGGGAGATAACTAGCAAAGACGTTAGTGGAAAGGTTATTGTTAAATTTCACTTGGTTAGGCTATGCAGCGCCTGAATCAATATGAGGTTAAACTGGAGGATGACGGTGTAGTATTAGCTTCAGTTCAACTTCATATTGATACAGGCGCTACATGGCCTAACGACATTGAAATGACCACGAAGCGAAATTAAACAATAACCTTTCCACTAACTTCTTTGCTCGTCTTCTTGCCGTCGTATTGTGTGCATACATCGCAAAACACTGGTGCATCATCATTATTGGTCCCTGGCAGCTCACTTCTGTTGTTTTTTTTTGTTGTTGTTGTTTTTGTTTTTTTTTTTGCATCCTTTTATTTTCGCATTAGGTAACTTTTTTTTCTGTTTAGCCATTTTTTTTGTGTTGTAACTTCCATTGTGCTTTTTTCTGCACGGTTTCTTTTTTTATTTGCAGTGGGCCTCAGTTTCATTTTTTTTTCGCATAACATCTGTAACATCTGTTGTGACTTCTTTTTTTTTTGCATTCTTTTTTATTTGCAGCAGTGGCGGTCCTCGGCCACCGTAGATAAAAACTGGTTTATTATTCATTCCAATACATTTTAATAGAAAATGTTGAATTGTTACTGTTGTGTTCAGAGAAATTGTAATTAAATACTTGTTATGAATAAAGATTACACAAAAAATACAACTCGGCTTCTACGTCATCAACCATTGACGGAACAAGTTTGGTCATGTGCTGTAGAAAGCTCGAGATCAACATGGCTGCCTTCATGAAGATGCAGGGCAGTGCGAGACAGTTGCATAAAAAAGCGGTTCTCTTCAAGCCGAACTGGCCCATGGTTTTCAGGTCCGGCGGCAGTCCATTCCCTCTGAGCGACATATCAGCTTCGAGTTTGTTCCAGCCCCCGCGGCTCTATATCAGCACCGTGAGGAGGTCACAGAGCACCTCGAAGATCCCATCTGGCAGAACGGCAGTGACAGCTGGATACAGGTTGACCACCAGAACTCAGCGATGGATGCGGGCCGGGGCAGTTGTACGCGGCGAAACAGGTTTCCTCACACCTACCAGTCCACCCTTCATGATCCACGACAGACTGTTCGGGAACCGAGCCAGCGGTGCCGGCTTCTCCGGAGAGGACGGCGGTGACAGTGCAAGCTCTACGGGGGATGAGTCTGGGGGAGATGGGGGGGCTTCGTATAACGGGCCTCAGATGACTGCCCTCACACCTATGATGGTTCCGGAGGTTTTTCCCAATGTGCCACTAATCGCTGTCAGCAGAAACCCCGTTTTCCCCCGCTTCATCAAGATCATCGAGGTGAGGATGATGTAAGCTTTCATCACGGGGTTCAATGACAGTCACACTGCTGCCTGGAGGCAGAGAGTGTTACAGTCTCACCCCTAGTATTAGGGGAGAGTGGGGTAAGATGAGCCACCCCCTGTTTCTTGGAAATTATAAAAGAAATTGATCATGTGACCAAATATTTAGGAGATGGGCATCAATTCATGGAGTCTGTGAAGGTTAGAAGTACATGGGTGAAGGAGTTGGACATTTATTTCCAAAAAAAACATTTTTCACTCTTGAAAGTGAATTTAGTCTGTCATAAGTTTTATTGAAATTGTGTTTGGACCAAAAAAAGATCATTTTAAATTTGTTTCATACATCAATTGTGGTATCTATGAGCTACAACATGAGGTCAAAAACCTAGCATAAAAGTCCACCATTTTAGTTTAGAGGACTAATAAAGTCATCATAGTAGTTCTGGGGTAAGATGAGCCAGTGGATCAACTGAGAAAGTAAAGGAGTCTGATGAGAGGATCAGAGTTTCAGTTCAGATTGTTGAAATGTGTTACTTTTTCTTTTCAAAAATACAGCTGTAAATGTTCTGAATCACTCAAAGGCTTTTTACAAAACCGCTTTTTAGCAGTTATATGCAGTAGTAATAAAAAGAATTATTGTACCAGTTGAATAGTGTATAATAGATAAAAATACACATGAATGTGAAGAAGTGACTGTTATTTAGGGAGAGAAAAGGTGAGGGAGGGCTCGGGTGGAGAGTGGGGGGTTGTAGGGATACGGCTCAACTTACCCCGCTCCTATGGTCAACTTACCCCATACACGGGGTAAACTGACCATAGGAGACCACTTTTTTTGGCATGATATATTATCAAGACAGTTATGTTTACACTCATTCTGTTGGTTTGCAGGGATGCACAACATCTTGAAATATATGCAGATACTCTAGTTAGAGACAAAACTATGATTGACTTCATGTAGTGATCTGAAATATGAAAAATGGCTCATCTGACCTCACTCTCCCCTACTACCTAGAATTCAAAAGACAAAAAGTCTGGTTTAAAGTATGTTTGATATGTTTGTCTGCATCTCCATTAGGTTAAAAACAAAGAGTCGATGGAGCTGCTGAGAAGGAAAGTACGTCTAGCCCAGCCTTACGCTGGAGTCTTCCTGAAGAGAGATGATAAGTAAGTCTGATAACTCACTGTTCTGCTGACATCCATAATGGCTGGTTGATGTAGGGCTGAATCTACCATGTATAATTCTGCCTTAACAAGGGTGTTGTATTGACACTATAGAGACGTTGTAACTTTAACTAAAATGTCCTCAGCGTGACAGCTATGGGTTTTAACTTGTAAAGGTAATCAGGGTGAAACAGTGGGCGCTGAACAACTAAAAATAGATTTAATCATCATTATTACCTTGAACATAAGCTTTCTGTCTAAGGATATCTTTGGTGTCCTCGGGGGTTGTGGGCTGAGCTGCTTCTCCTGTGAGATGTTGACTGGTTTTTGTTGAGAGCAACGTCCTTCAGTGTCCAGGCAAATATGGGGACTGTGCTTTCAAGGATATGGGCATTATCATAGAGACAGGTGACATCCAGAGTGGTGTGATGGGCTAGGTGGATGTTAAGTCTCGTCTTCACGATACTATGTCCATGATATTATAAGTTATGTACCAGGATATGCATTGGAGTACAAAAGGCTTAGGAATTGTACTGAGTAAGAGCAAATGGTAGCTTTCAGGATCTTTCCACTGAAAAGCAATGAGAAGAATGTTATCTGAATAATTTCAAGCAATGTGATTTATCACGTTTAGTTGCATATATCAGTAATAATCAGTAATTAGAGGAATTTCATGACCAACAGATGTGGTGCATAAGCTTATATTTGAATGGTTATTTTTTAACTATTTGAATTGTACACTTCTTTGGTGTATAGACCAATTTTTTTACTGGAATCATGTCACCACCTGATGTCGCTTTGTTGGTTTTAAGTTGTGTTTTTGTCTCTTACAGTAATGAGTCAGATGTGGTGGAGTCTCTTGAAGCCATCTACTCTACAGGGACCTTTGTTCAGATTCATGAGATGCAGGACCTGGGAGACAAGCTAAGGATGATTGTAATGGGACATCGCAGGTAATAAAAACTAGCTCTGCTGCCAAGCAGGTGTTTTTCATACTATTCACTTCATGGTACAGTTTTGTGTGTTTTTATTGTTTACTATATGGACCTCTGCTATGTGTATACTGTAATCTGCTAGGATACGGATAACAAGAGAGCTAGAGGTGGAACTTGAGGAAGAAGCAACAACACCACCTGTGTTGTCAGAGTCTGAGGTAGAGCCCCAGTCCAAACCTCCACTTAGACGCAAAGCCAAACGGAGTCGCAAAGACCAACCAGGTTCTCTGGCAGAGCAGCTAGAGGAGAAGGTTTGTGTCATAACCATAACGTACCTTATCTATGGTCTTTTGTGCCTGCTGGCATTCAGAAGCTTTCACCTCTCACCTTAATATATATCACATATTGAATATTACCATCAAGGGAAGGGATTCTGATCAATGTCAATGCTCAGATTTCAGAAGTAGACCTCAGTCCAGAGTTTCAGCCTCTGCCCTCATCCAACATTCTGATGGTAGAAGTGGACAACGTCCAACACGAACAGTTTACTGTCACGGAGGAGATCAAGGTACAAAATAATCATTATATTATAGAGCACAAACTCACCAAGTGATTTTCAGAATGAAGGTCATAATTTCTGTGTGTCATATGTCATAAAAAAATGTTCTTGCAAAAAAAAAAAGGAAAGGCACCAAGAGAAAAAACAAGTATTTGTGTGTTCTGTAGGCACTTACTGCAGAGATAGTGAAGACCATCAGAGACATCATCGCACTCAATCCACTTTACAGGTCTGGTCTAAAAGTGAAGTTTGTTATCCTCATGTCTTAATCTGTTCTGATCACACACTACCATGCTGTTTAATTTAGGTTTTTATTCATATGGTCGGGCTTCCTGCTCACATTAAGCCTTTGAGCTTGCAGTCAGGTTAATAGCATAATTCAGACATGCATGACATCTGCCAGCTTTGTTTTTGAAATGTTAACCACAGGCCTTAAAACGTACTACTTTGTTGTTTGTGCGTGTGTCCCAGAGAGTCGGTCCTCCAGATGATGCAGGCTGGTCAAAGAGTGGTTGATAATCCCATTTACCTTAGCGACATGGGAGCAGCGCTGACTGGAGCAGAGTCACATGAGCTACAGGACGTCCTGGAGGAGATAAATGTGAGTGCTCTGCAGGCTCGCTGGAGACGGTCTTTTATGATTTCTATAGTGAAGCTAAGAGAAACTGATGTGGACTCCACTCAAATAGAAGTTGGTCAGATGTGTAAATACCCAGAATCCCGACTCTCTAAATTCACTTCCCTCCAAACAAAACATCTTACTCCAAAATTATTGACATACATCATATGTTTCGATTTCCCACTGACTTTGCCAAGTGCCTTTTTTACTGTGGTGTCTTTCCTTCTTCATTTCATTGTAAAAGCAAGACAAGCAATGCAAAGTTAAGAGTGCCAGTGTTTCAAAACAGAGCAGTTGGTGCAGTAGTACCTGATTTTAAAGGTTAAGTTCTTGATAGTTTCAAAGAACAGCGCACTTATGGTTCTGTGAGCTTTTTAGCTTGCTAACAAACATGCTTTTCATCTTTACATTGAGAGTGAATATGAAAAAGGAGTGTGCAGCTATCTTGTGAACCTGTCGCTGTGTCTTTACAGATCCCAAAGCGTCTCTACAAGGCTCTGTCTCTGCTGAAGAAGGAGTATGAACTGAGCAAACTACAGCAGAGACTCGGTAGAGAGGTCAGAGGTCATTACCAAACATGTATTAGCGCCAACAGGCTACAGCTTTGCTTATCTCATTCACCTGTCTCTCTGTTGTGATCGCAGGTGGAAGAGAAGATCAAACAGACTCACAGGAAGTACCTGCTACAGGAGCAGCTGAAGATCATCAAAAAGGTTGAATTTGACTTTTTAATTCTGTGTCCTATTTCTAGATGTCCAAACCAACATAGCATGTCACTGACATTTTATACCCTCAGCATAATCTGTTTACCAGCCCGAACATGTTGTATTACTGTCAGACAAGCATATTTACAATCTGACCACTGAGTCTAATACAACAAAGAATAAATTGTAAATAAATAAATGGCATGTGAATTTTCAGGAGCTGGGTCTGGAAAAAGAGGATAAAGAAGCCATAGAAGAGAAGTTCAGAGAGAGACTCAAAGACAGGACTGTCCCTCAGCATATAATGGATGTCATCAATGAAGAACTCAACAAACTGGGACTGCTGGATAACCACTCCTCAGAGTTCAAGTTGGTCATCTGACTTTTTTTCTCATACAATGATGCTTCGAGTAATACTTGAGTCAAGAACATGTTGTGTTGACAGCTGACTGAACAAGGGGGCATCAAAGAATGGTTTCAGTATTCATAATCTTTTGTTTGGCGAGTTGGATCAGATGGTAGGGGAGGCTGCTGGACAGACATGGTAAACCCAACAATGTCATGTGGGTGAACTGGAATTATCAGGCTTGGACAAATCTTGAAAGACGTTTAAGGAGAAAAGCACCAAAGAGGAGCACAATGACTAACTGATCAAATAACTACCATGACGCCTGTCTTTCAGTGTTACCCGTAACTACCTGGACTGGCTGACCAGCATGCCCTGGGGAATTAACAGTGAAGAAAACTTATTATTGGGGACAGCCAAAGATGTTTTAGAAGAAGACCATTACGGCATGGATGATGTTAAAAAACGGATCTTGGTAAGTAAATCCATGCAACTACTTCAAAAAAATGTGTGAACAATGATGTTAAAAAAATGGCTGTGCAGTGTAAAACTGCGATTGTTTCTCATAACTGCAATGAACCAGAATGATATTTTCTTTCTGTGCAGGAATTCATAGCAGTGAGTCAGCTGCGTGGCTCCACTCAGGGAAAGATCCTGTGTTTTTATGGTCCCCCAGGTGTCGGAAAGACCTCTATCGCACGCTCCATTGCCAGAGCTTTAAATAGACAGTACTTCAGATTCAGCGTGGGCGGAATGACTGATGTAGCTGAGATTAAAGGACACAGGTCTGAAAGTCTTCATTATTACTACAGACAGTTTGCACTTCCAAGAATCCAGAGCATGCACTGATCCAAGTCTGTGTGTTTATGTTTTCTGCGGTGGCCTCTGCTGTGTTGTTTGTCTTTGGATGTTTATGCAAGGGTCAGGGTGGTTTAGTCCATTAGCGAAGAAACAGAGAAAAGCAGAGACGCTAAAATCAACTCTCAACTTTTGATTAAGTCCCTTGCCTGTAGCTAAAGCTTCACATCTCTGAATATTAATTTTGGTGCAAATTCAAACAGTAGAAAAATAAGAGCAATCACATTTCAACCTTTTAATGTACCTAAATTTTTCACTTTCATTTAAGGAAAAATTGAAAACTTATTGTCCGAAATGTGTGTTTGTGTGTCCAGGAGAACGTATGTTGGAGCAATGCCGGGGAAGATTATCCAGTGCCTGAAGAAAACAAAGACGGAGAACCCTTTGGTGTTAATAGATGAGGTCAGTCTGGGGATGATGCTACTAACACTCTATCTTTGAGACTCAATGCCAGTCCATATAAGAGCACCAATAACTGAGCAGAAGTGGGTGTTGTAAGAGCGGGTATTTACTGTCCACAGTGAATGTTTATTTTTGCTGCCAGTTAAAGCTTGGTTTGTTGCCATTGACTGTATATACTATGGACAACTTGGTTCTGCCTTGTGCCAGTATACGTATTTGAAGCCGAAAAGCTCTCAGTATTTCTGCGATTTTTCTCCACTTCCTGAAACCAACGTTGCGCAGTAGTATTGTACGCCCTCCACCACTTGCGCAGTAGTATTGTACACATTCAGCAGCAGAGTCGCCAAGAGTCGCTGTGATGACACTCGGCTCAAACAGCGTATCCCCCGAGTGAGCTACGTGATCTTCATACACCTATAGGCTGTGTCAAGTGTCAAGAAAAATTTATATTCTGTGTAATAAATTTCTAAAGTTTGTCCACAACTCCATAAGGATTGCTGGAGGAGGCGGGATTTATGACCTATACTGCAACAGAGGGTGTTGTTCTCGGAGTGGCTTCACCCAGCGAGGAGGCAGACGCTGTCCATTCTATATACAGTCTGTGGATGTTGCCTGTGTCTTGGCCAATGTAACGGAGGGTGACGTGAAAAAGCTTGTTTACAATGAATTAGATGCATTCATAGCTTCAAAGTGAAGAGGTAACTTCACACATCTATAACTCAGGACAGGTGCATCAGAGAGCAGGGGATCCAGCAATTCAAACAAAGCCGGATGAAGGTCTAGTACTGAAACGTTGCATTGAATTGTTCCTTCCTCTGCAAGTTGGACAGTGTGGATGCATTCATAGCTTAAAATTTTCCTCTCTCACATTTGACTCATTGACTTAACTCATGGTGAAAACTCACGAGTGATCAAGTTCTTGGATTTTTGTTCAAATAGCCAGTACACTTCTTAGATTTGGCTCAGTGCTATTACAAAAGGAAAAATCAGATAGACAGTATAGTCCCATTATGCCATCAACTATGTGAAACTGAGTCAACATCTGCCCTTTACAGACAGTTTGTCTAAGAAAGGTGAGAATGTCATAATTTTCTCAGGTATGTGGTCAGAAATCAAACTGGACAAAAATGTGTAATTAGATGAAGCTTTAAAGGTCAGAGGACGAATCATCCCTTGGGAACATGATGGTATACACCAATTTTCATAGCAATACATCTTAAATGTATCTATGTTGTGTCTGTGGTGGTAAATGTCAGCAAAGAGAGAAAGCTCATGTGGGGAGAAGCAGTCTGAGTTAGGTAATGAACTTCAAAGTAATATGCAGCAGAGGTTGCCTTTCAGGTTTTCAGGAACTAGTGTTTCTACCGAGTGGAGAAGGCTGTATGTATGCTAAGGCATTAATATTAATGAGTCTTTCTCAGGTGGATAAGATCGGCCGTGGTTACCAGGGTGATCCATCATCTGCATTGCTGGAACTTCTGGATCCTGAACAGAATGCCAACTTTCTTGATCACTACCTTGATGTCCCTGTCGATCTTTCAAAGGTGGGAAAATGTGCAATATGTTCACTGTCAGAAATAAAAAAAAGTATCCATTTTTTAAATCTTACTTCTCACCAATAAAGGTTTTGTTTATCTGCACGGCTAATGTGACTGACACCATCCCAGAGCCACTTCGAGACAGGATGGAGATGATCAATGTGTCTGGATATGTGGCGCAAGAGAAATTGGCTATTGCTGAGGTAACACCAGCTTCTACCTCTACACTTCCCTAACTGTGTAAAAAGAGGACATTTATACAATACCACTGTAATGCTACACTATTTTATACATGGTTTTTATAATTCATTTATGGTTTCTTTGGTAGGGACAGATATGATATACCCAGATAAATTATCTAAACAGTTATCTGATGCGAGAATCAAAGTGTTTTAGTGGATGCTACTTTGCAGCTTGTGCTCCTAGAGGGGCTTTTGTGAGAGTATCAGATAAATATGGTAAGTTAAAAGAAAGAAGTAAAAGTGTAACATGTTAAAATAGAGGTTTTGATCAGTTGTAAACATTAATCGAGTTATTTTCTAACAACTCTAAATACCTTATTCAACAGTATATAACAGTATATACACTCACCGGCCACTTTATTAGGTACACCATGCTAGTAACGGGTTGGACCCCCTTTTGCCTTCAGAACTGCCTCAATTCTTCGTGGCATAGATTCAACAAGGTGCTGGAAGCATTCCTCAGAGAGCTTGGTCCATATTGACATGATGGCATCACACAGTTGCCGCAGATTTGTCGGCTGCACATCCATGATGCGAATCTCCCGTTCCACCACATCCCAAAGATGCTCTATTGGATTGAGATCTGGTGACTGTGGGGGCCATTTGAGTACAGTGAACTCATTGTCATGTTCAAGAAACCAGTCTGAGATGATTCCAGCTTTATGACATGGCGCATTATCCTGCTGAAAGTAGCCATCAGAAGTTGGGTACATTGTGGTCATAAAGGGATGGACATGGTCAGCAACAATACTCAGGTAGGCTGTGGCGTTGCAACGATGCTCAATTGGTACCAAGGGGCCCAAAGAGTGCCAAGAAAATATTCCCCACACCATGACACCACCACCACCAGCCTGAACCGTTGATACAAGGCAGGATGGATCCATGCTTTCATGTTGTTGACGCCAAATTCTGACCCTACCATCCGAATGTCGCAGCAGAAATCGAGACTCATCAGACCAGGCAATGTTTTTCCAATCTTCTATTGTCCAATTTCGATGAGCTTGTGCAAATTGTAGCCTCAGTTTCCTGTTCTTAGCTGAAAAGAGTGGCACCCGGTGTGGTCTTCTGCTGCTGTAGCCCATCTGCCTCAAAGTTCGACGTACTGTGCATTCAGAGATGCTCTTCTGCCTACCTTGGTTGTAACGGGTGGTTATTTGAGTCACTGTTGCCTTTCTATCAGCTCGAACCAGTCTGGCCATTCTCCTCTGACCTCTGGCATCAACAAGGCATTTCCGCCCACAGAACTGCCGCTCACTGGATATTTTTTCTTTTTCGGACCATTCTCTGTAAACCCTAGAGATGGTTGTGCGTGAAAATCCCAGTAGATCAGCAGTTTCTGAAATACTCAGACCAGCCCTTCTGGCACCAACAACCATGCCACGTTCAAAGTCACTCAAATCACCTTTCTTCCCCATACTGATGCTCGGTTTGAACTGCAGGAGATTGTCTTGACCATTTCTACATGCCTAAATGCACTAAGTTGCCGCCATGTGATTGGCTGATTAGAAATTAAGTGTTAACGAGCAGTTGGACAGGTGTACCTAATAAAGTGGCCGTTGAGTGTATTTATACATCACTGATGTATGAAGAGTATTTACTAAGTGAAAAGCTACTGCTACTTTTGAATAAACATTTATAACAGGCAAAGAGACCCAATTTGTACATCATGAAACACGTCATTATTCATAAATTATGCTACTCCCTAAAGAAGACTTTGACATCCACTTCTAGTAGCATGTCATATCAAAACCTGCTACAATCATTGTGAAAGAGTTAAAAATGATCTTATTGGAAGGTGAAAAACTGAACTAGTATTGTGATTATTATTTTGAAGTCCTGAAGTTTGTAGTTTTACTTAAACCTAAGGTGTCAAGTGTTTTCCCAAACTCCTTCTTTCCTGTAATCTTTATGTGTGTGTTTCTGTCTTTCTGTTTAGCGTTACCTCGTGCCTCAGCTCCGCTCTTTATGTGGTCTGACCGAAGAGAAGGTCTCACTCTCATCGGATGCCCTCAGTCTGCTCATCAAGCAATACTGCAGAGAATCTGGAGTCAGGAACCTGCAGAAACAAGTCGAGAAGGTAAAATACTGTTAGGCTCTATTCTGTATGTGCTTGATCTGATTTCACTTGTACTGGAGTCACCCAGAAGAACATTTTGTAAAAAGTGAATCCCATCTCTGGGACCAGCAGAAATTACAGGAGTTGAATTCCACAGCATGGTACAAGCAATCCAACTGAAAGTTCCTTTTTCAGCGTTGTTATTTGGACAGCATATGAATTTGCACAGAAATTTTGTGGTTCTTTAGGGAAGAAAATAAATTCTCATCCAAATAGTGACACCTAATAGTTCATCCCCCATTTTTAAGCAGGTCTACCATAATCCCTGTCTCATGTGTCTTTCAGGTTTTCCGTAAGGTGGCGTTCAATATCGTCAGTGGTGAGCAAAACACAGTGAATGTTACAGCTGACAACCTGCAGGACTTTGTGGGTAAACCGGTTTTCACAGTGGATCGAATGTATACTGTCACCCCTCCTGGTGTGGTCATGGGCCTGGCATGGACTGCTCTTGGTGAGAAAAAGGTTTTCATGTAATGCTCACACAACCTCATAGCAGTTCAACAAAATACTTACGGCCTTTCTGTATTTCATTATCCCTTCAGGAGGGTCTACGCTGTTCATTGAGACATCGTTGCGCCGTCCCCCTGGAGGGGGGGACTCTGAAGGAGAGGGGTCACTGGAGGTTACAGGTGAGTCAGAAAGATCCTATTAAAAGTAGCATCCGAGGAGAAGGATGTTTAAACAGCACCAAGGACCTGTGTCTTTACCTCATACTGAATAAGTAACGCTTAATGTTATCTTTTACTTCTGCAGGTCAGCTGGGCGATGTTATGAAAGAAAGTGCAAAGATTGCTTCAACATATGCTAGAGCTTTCCTCATGACCAAAGAACCAGAAAATCATTTCTTGGTCAACTCTCACCTACATCTGCATGTTCCTGAGGTAACCACAGCAACTCAGTATTGTAGGAAATATCTTTTTGATAACTTTGCTCTATTATCTAAGTCTTAATTTGTTTATTTTTCACATGGCTACCTGATCATTTGCCAAAAAAGGTGTTTAGTTTTTTTTTTTTTAAACTGATACACCTATCTGTCAATTTCATATATCTCATTGTGATAGTACAAAAGATACTCTTGTGTTAAGGTCAGTAGTTGTTGTTCTTATCTTTGTCTCTAACATGTCTTTAGGGGGCAACTCCCAAGGATGGACCAAGTGCTGGGTGTACCATTGTTACAGCACTTTTATCCTTAGCAACCAACCAGCCAGTGCGCCAGGATGTTGCCATGACTGGTGAAGTGTCTCTGACTGGCAAAATCCTGCCAGTAGGTGGAATCAAAGAGAAAACTATTGCTGTAAGTACAAGTGACTACAGTGTGGATGAACACAAACTACAAACCACACTCAGCTTCACCTGGGATTTACATTTTAGTGACTTTTTATGTGTATTCCAGCTCTGATCAAGATTTTCTTCTCTTTTAGGCACGTCGGGCTGGTGTGACCTGTATCCTCCTTCCAGCTGAGAATAGGAAAGACTTTTCTGACCTACCGGATTACATCACCGAGGGCCTAGAGGTTCACTTTGTGGATCACTACAGCCAAATCTACCCCATTGTCTTTCCACAGAAGTGATTTCACAAACAGCAGTAAAAACAAGCAAAGATGGACCAGGTCGACTCAGAACTCTGTAGTGTGCTGTATCATAGCACTGATGATCAATCTTTTAGCAGTTGTTAAAAAGTCCAGCTGCTGATTTATGGCTGGTTCGTGTCAAATTTGCAGCTGACTTTGAGATCCTGCTGTGTAGACTGGTGCAGCATAATGTGTTCTCATGTTATCCAAGGAAATCCAGGTGGCTTAGTCACTCATTATGTACATATTTCATTATTTATATTTTGTTTTAGCCACCACATGACCGCTGAAGGTAGAGGAACAGCCATGTGGGGGAGGAAAATATCAATGATCTAAAGCCATTCAGCCACAGATGGGACAACACTAAATAATGGTTCTGATGGTGATGATGAACACTGGCCTGTCGTCAAATGATATAATGTCACTGAAAAACAGAATTTGGCATTGCAACTTCGCTGCCAGGCAGCTTCTTTATCCACAGCTCTCGTCATGAAGGGCTGTGGGGGGACTGAATAGATTTCCTATCTTACTATTTTATATCACTGTTGGTCAGATGTTACAATGATTATGTTTAAATAAAATAAATAACACCTAGCTGTGTTGCTGTTCCTTTAATTCTTCATTTTCAGCTGTAATGGGCTCTATGCACTGACCTGCTACTTCCTGAACTTAAGGCAGCTCCTTTATTTCCTGTCTTACATAATTGGACAAACTGATCAGTCACACCTGGATCAATCAGTTTGCCCAATAATGTAACAGGAAATAAAGGCGCTTCCTTAAGTTCAGGAAGTAGTGGAGCTGTGCATAGAGCCCATAGAGGTTGCCTCTGTGGGACTTAAAGACAAAGTCAACTTTATTGTCAAATATGCTATACATGTTAAACATACAGCACAGATGAAATTTCAGTCCTCTCAGACCCATGGTGCGTAACAATAAAGTATATGAGCAAAACTATAAACGTATAACTAAAGAATAAACAACTAAGCTAAACAAAAGACTACCTTAAATACTCAACAATTCACTGAATAAAGATGATATAAACAGTGTAACAGTATAAATATAAGGAGGACGGTGAGTGGAAGAAAGTGAATGTAAACAGTATGGCAGTCCTGAAGTGGACATACTAGTGCAAATATGGCAATATGGATGCAATAGTGCAAATAAATGTAATACAGTAGTAATAATGGTGCAATGATGAGGGATAAAGTGAAAAGCTTATCAACATTTGAGGGATAAAGGGAAAGGCTCATCAACATTTCGAGCTATACTGTTTTCTGCCAGAGTTCTTTAGAAGCTCTTTCCAAACCATCTGCCAGAGTTCGAACCTCTAGGATTCTGAGGGGCGATGCATAAGCCAGGACTTCACCTAAATGTGCTGATGTGACAAGGTGACCAGTGGTAGGTAGGGCTTGGTTTGTGATTTACAGGGGAAGCAGGTGATTCTTGTAGTGTGGATCACGCTCCATGAGATAACTATAAGGTGAATTTCATTTTAGCTATTAGTAAAACTGAAGTTTGCTGTGTGTACAAGTTAAACTATTCCCTGCACTTTGAGCTCTAATAATGAAAAAGCTTGTCTGCCTTTTTTTGTATCCTGTTGCTGCATGCACAGATGATTTGGAAGCTCACAGTGATTCTCAAATGCTTCTGTCAGAGGGAGAGTGGGCTCAACCCGCTATTAGTTATTATGGGGGTGGGACCAGGGCTTTTATTATGCTTTTTTCTTAAAGGGGCAGGGTTGGGTTTTAATCTCTGAAATTCAGGGAGTGGGGTGTTATTTTGTTTACATCCTGCTTATTGTATCGGAGACTGTGCAGATAAACCACACACCTCAATAGGAAATGTCAAAGTAATGTGCTGTATTCATTGTGCGGGTTTCTTTTTTTAGGTTCATTGCAACAGCCTTCATCAAAAGCTTGATTCAACTTTGCATACCTCATAGTGTATACATCAGTTAGGTGGGCTGAGTCACAGAAATACATAGGGGAGACCGGGACTTGTTGTCACGTTGCAATTATCTCTGCCACCAGAGGGCGCAACTAAAATGTGGAATACTAATTTTATTCTTCTACATGGTCAGAGGTTGTGTCCTGTCTGAGAAGAGAAGAGAACATTGTGAGCTGAGATGAGCGCCAATTAACCATTTTGCGCAACCCAAAGTAAAAAAATATATATATATTATATCTTATACTATGTTATATCTAACACAGTACTTGTTAGAGGAGAGATTAAGGCATCCTGTCATATCTCAGTTATTGTTCTGTTTTAAGCTAACTTTAAGCTAGAGCCAGAATTAGTAAACATGGTAGTTTGGGGCAACATGTCTCAGTCATTTTGGGGTTAGTTGTCACGTGTTTAAAAGGGAATAAAATTAACATAGAGTCTGATTATCAGCAGTTGTCATGATGAGATTTTGACTTGATTTTTACAGAGAAAAGAGTGGTTTAAAAGAGAGGAGAAAATGAGAAGACATGGTCAGGATTTACTAAAGAAAAACAGAACATGGCAGTGCAGTTCCTGACGTGATGCTGAGGGCGGTCAGACAGGTGACCCTAGCTAATGAATCAATCTGGAGGACAATAAAGGACGTTAATGTCTACTATACCTTTGCTCGGTACTGCAAAAACATTCACCCTAACCAAAATACAGAGTCCGACAGCTCTCCAAACTCCAGAGCATGTTACATAATATTTTATGTTAACGTTTGTTCAATGACTTTTTGTAGCTCAATGTTACGCATTGTCCGAGTCTGACTTTCATGTTGACTTTCATGTAAAATGTGAGAACAACAATAATTTTGTCCCTGTTTTAATAGCTGCAAAATCCACTGTGACATCTTACCCCATGTAGTGAGACAAATTACCCGATGGTGGGGCAACATGTCACATGTTCACACTCTCTATTTGATTGCTTATAACTCTGCACTGACACAAGATATGAATATGACATGAATACAAAATATATACCCGAGACTTTGGTCTTTCATCTGGTACACATTTTGTTTACATATGGTTGCAAGAAATATGCAAGTGTTTAAAAAGTGTGACAGCAAGCCCCAGTCTCCCCTATTCACTGACCTGATATAGTGTATATGTGATATATTCACTGATATAGTGTAAACCTACGAATAAGGACGAAAATCCGCTTATTTCAGACTGTCTTCCCCACAGAAAACAACAGTAAGATTAAATTTGGTGGGGGGAAAACGACCTAAATTTGATAACGAATGTAGAGATCGGTGGTGAATAATTTTATTCTGCACAATATTGGGCGGAAGCGTTTTTCTTGTTGCTGCTTAAGAATAGCGTCGACTTCACTGTAGTCCTCAGGAGCAGCAGCAGCAGCAGCGTGGGATAATAGGATGAGAGGATGCTGTGGGAGAGAGGGCTGAGGGAACAGCTGGATGATGGGATTTATCAGAGACACCTGATTTTATAACGATCTGCACTTAGTGCCACATAATCTTTTGTTCTGTCCGCCTTGGCTCGGTGTCCCACCTGATGTGCGTTGTCGCTGGCTGCTGCTGCTGCCTGATCAGCCTCCGTGTTTCCATCGGTCCATCTATGGGGATGCGACGGGCCCTCAGAGCTCAAGGCACAATGGCAACATCCATCAGCGGCTGCTCTGCTTTCAGATGTCGGGAGATTTATCTTCTAAATCTTATAAACGGAGAGCAAACCTGCACATGCTTTTAGGAGAGACGGACAAAGAAGGCGTCGTGTTTGGGGGCAGACATCATCACTGAGTCCTATCCATCTCCTTCAGATCCAGGTGTGGAGCAGATTCTGTTTGTTATGAGCTCTAGTGACCGGTGTGAACACAAACATCTGTGGAGGTTTTTTCCTCTGATGTAGGTTTCTCTACCAAGTCGTGTAGGTGTGCTCCTGATAAACGTGCAATAGCCTGAATTGGTCAGGAGAGCTATTGTTTACTGTTATTGTGTATTGTGGGCTCAGCCCAAGGTGGCACGGCCTGCAGCACCGCTGGATAGATTCCGTGTCCACCTTCAAATGCGATGTTGATGGAGAAATAATAACATATTTAACATCGTTTTAACAGGGCGGGGTTGCAGTGTAGTCTTGTGTTTTTATCATAGTGGATTATCGAGGGTAAATTGAAGGGACAACAGTGGAACCTATTCTACCTGCAGGACCACCTCCACAACAGCAGACTTCACACAACCCACTCATGATCATTCCACAGCCCAGGACTGTGTAAACCAATGAGCGAGTTAATGATCCCATTTGTCAGTGAATATATTTGTCATCTTTAAAGCAGTTACAAAACGGACATGATTTGGTCATTGCTGAAACGGTGGAAAGCTTTGAATCATATATTCATTTTATTGTTACTGAGGACAGTAAACTGTTACAGAGGGAGGTTTTTTTTATTTCTCATGTTTATAATATTATTTATAAATTATTTCTCATAATTTATAAATGGTAAATAGATAGTTTATTGATGTTAGATCATCATTTAAAAACAGCATATAGACCAGTTATAAATGGCAAATAGATAGGTTATCAATGTAAGTTCATAGTTAATTTACCATTAACTAGCAGTGAAATTATGATCAATAATTTTCATTAATTATTAATGGACTATTTTTAAAGGTTTATATAGGGTTTAAATATTGATTGTAAAACATCTAGATTAGAATGTGTGTCAGTAGCACTTTGTAAATAATTAACAAGTGGTTTATAAACCATCTATAAACATTACTTAGATGGTTATTGTAAAGTTAGGGTTAAGGTTAGGCTTTTAAAATTGTAAAATTTACAACTTATTATTGGTCTGTATATTATTTATTAATGATGATTAAACATTAATAAACTATCTGCTTACCATTTATAAATGGTCTATTTACCATTTCTAAGTTATGGTTATTGTAAAGTGTTATCCACATTTTTACTTCATAACATTTATAAATATTTACAGAGAAAAAAACAAAAAACTTGTACAGTCGGATTGCAAATAAGCACCAGTAACCATTGATGATATGTTACATAGGGAAAGGCTTCATTACTAAAGATACAAAACATGATGTTGAAATAAAATCTTAATCTTAAAGTTATCATTTATCTCTGGTTATTGATTGATTTTGATTGAGCATATAAGTGTCTAGCTAAGCAGTAAAGTGCAGCTGTGGCTCAGGGGGTACAGTACAGTACAGTGGCACTTTACATATCAGCCTCTTCCAAAGGGAAAAATGGCATTTCTATGGTTTCATAGAATATAATTTTCAAGTCATATCTCTTATGGTTTTGTCATCAGAATTAAAGGAAGTTATTCTCATGAAATGTTTAATAGTTAGAGGTTTTGTGGGCTTTACATATCTATAAGCTTTTTTTCACTATTGTACAAAATTCAGCTGATTCAGAAAATAGAACTTTTTGAAAGTATTACACATCTTTGCTTGAATAAAATGGCTTTAAAATGTATGTATGTAAATATATGTATGATAGTTTAGTGTCAAAATGTTTGGGGTAATAAATATGAAAGTTGAGGATGACTGACAGCAAACGGCTGAGGCTGGAAGTACAGTTAAGTGTCGAGAGCTATGGTGTTTGGGGTGCATATAACTTGTTTCCAGTAATATAAAGAGGCATTTAGGGTGACAGCATAATGCCAACAAAACTATGAAACTATAAAGATAACAACGATTATAAACTGCAACTAAACACCCTGTGCTTCCATATCAGCAGCTGTGATTGACAGGACTACAAGCAGTTATAGTGACACTTACTCATGTCATTGCACAAGTGAGGAAGGCTATGGTGGGCTCAGCTGTACCGTAGAAAGAAAATGAATTATATTTGTTGACTGTTCTCTCATCCCCAGTCCTGTCTATCGGTGTAATGGCCGTGTCGTTGGTGCCTCTTCTCTCGGTGATCCTCCTCTCCCTCCAAATTCCTGCTCAAGCATCTCCTTCCTGCCCGGTGAGTTGCCGATGCTACAGCCTCACAGTGGAATGTGGCTCCACTGGCCTGAAGGACATCCCCAAACACATCCCCCCGTCCACACAGGTAGGCTCAATGTAGTGAAAGAGGACATTCACTGACAAGGCAACAGATCGTTCTTGACTGAATAAACGAAACAAAAATTCACTTTGAAATAATGACCAACACTAACTGTAACTGTGTCCTTGTCTTTTTTTTTTATTGTGCTTCTCTATATCCAGACTGTTTTCCTCCAGGATAATGTGATTGGCCAGATTCGTCGACAGGACCTCACTCTGCTGAGGCACCTGTATTACTTGTATCTGCAGGTAATGAGAGACCACATCCCCACCAACACACCCAAAGGGAGGGTTTAAAGAAGTGACTGAGAGGGATTTTCTAATGTAATTTATTATTCATTATAGGGTAGCTGAGCTTTACAGAATCTACAGTGTGATGGAATAACTGCCCTTAAATGTTTGGATGAAGGAATGAAGAGTTTTCATACATGACTAGTATACACTATAAAATAATGTCACATTGACTAAGTACGTCATTCAGAGGTAGAAGATGCAATGACAGGACAGGATGCTCTGCTGGTGTTAGGGTTGAAAAAAGGATGCAGGATGAGTTCAGGAGCTTGAGCTGAATTCTGATGAGATGGACTACTAGACGTTGAAGCTATCTCTTGTTTGTTTTATACTTAAAAGATTTAACACCCTCAAATAGCTGATAACTAGGAACACAGAAATAAGGATAGCTATTAACATGAATGAATGAACTAACCAACAGACTAAATGAACATCTAATCAAACACTTTTAAAGTTTTAAAGGGCATTAACATCTGTTATGTTTGCTTTTATCTCTAACAAATATAAAGTTTAACCACAGGTAAACAATCAAAAATAGTCCTCTCAGCATTTGTAGATAAGATAGATTGTAATCAATCAGCCTGTGTGATAACCAGGTTAAAATCTCCTCAGGACCTGTTGGTCAGAAATTAAAACCCCTGAATGTACAGTGTGTGACCACTAGATGGACCCAAAGAAAGGTGTGTGCCAGTTGTAGCTGGAAATAATCGAAGAAACAGCAACATAAACATTGAGACCATGTCTTCAGTAATGTATAAATCATGTTTATAATGTCATACAAAACAAGTTCTTGCAGTCACTGAGTGATAACCATCAGTAAAAGATGTTTCACCCCTCGTATCCCTTCCCCCTCCAGAACAACACCATTTCGGCAGTGGAGCCTGGCTCTTTCCAGAACCAGGGTCAGCTATTGGAGCTGGCTCTGAATGGGAACCGGATCCACCTGGTGACAGCTGACATGTTTCAGGGACTTGAACACCTCCGCATTCTTTACCTAGCAGGAAATGACATCACACGCCTTCTGGACTACACCTTCCGTGGCTTACAAGTGAGACATGTTACAGTTTTATCTATGTGCACAGTCCAACACTGTGATTTTTCATACATGCAGCAGTCAGGATAACAACACTACTGAGCATGCATTACACACTAACGCATAAAAAAGAAAACACAGTGGTCTTTCAACAAAAGAAAAAGATTAATAGAACATAACTTTTGCACAACTGGATAAGTTTGGTGAGGAGAAGATGTCTATGAAAACATATGACAGCTCCTGCACATGGTCTCCACATCACGCTGTACTCAAAACTTTGTCAGTTTGATTTATTGTAAGAATTAACGATGTGTCCACGAATCAAAACAGAGCAGCTGACTCTGTCTTTTTCAGTTCTACATTTTTATTTCTACACTTTAGCGATGAAAAGCAACAAATTATTTTGAATACCTCACATGTTTTGGACTTTGTGTAGCAGTTTTCTTCATTCTTATTTGAAACTTTATAACTGACTGGAGTCACTTCCTTCATGTCTCTGCAGCGTCTGCAGGAACTCCATTTGCAGCACAACAGTATAGAGATGTTGGCGGATCAGGCTCTTGTTGGTTTGAGTTCACTGGCTCTATTGGACCTAAGCAGGAATAATCTTCATACTATTGGCCCTGCAACCCTGAGACCTCTGGTCAGCCTTCAGGTGCTGCGTATTACAGGTGACAGTAACTCCTTCATTATACTTAATTTGCACTGTATATATATTTATAACCCCTTCCCTCAGTGCACTAAAAATGTCTTTCTCTAAGATCATTACAAACAGCTGACACATCGTTTCTTTCAACACCCAGACATAACTTAGCCCCCTCTCCTCTGTGCTGTAGATAACCCGTGGCGCTGTGACTGCGCTCTTCACTGGCTGAGGAGCTGGATTGATGAGGAGGGTCAGCGGCTGCTCAGCTCTGCAGAACGCAGACTGGTCTGCACCGAACCACCACGCCTTTCCCATCTTAGCCTGGTGGAGGTCCCCCTCAACAGCCTGGTTTGCATCCCTCCACTAGTCCAGCTGGAGCCCAGGAGACTAGCTGTGCACCTGGGAGAGAGCCTTCGAGTGTCATGCCATGCCTCTGGTTATCCAAGGCCTCAGGTAGGGACAGTTAGCATGTCATCGTAATTGGTTATTTGAGGATTGGAATGACACCAGCAGAATCAGTCATTTCAAATCAGTCGGTGCAGACCCTAACACAGGAGGAGGGTTAAAGCTGTAACCAATATTCTCGGTTTCTCTGACAGTTACAAGAATGTAGTCCGTGGTTTTATCTGGAGAAAACGGCATCTGTATCCTGTCCAGACTCACAGTAATATTGTACATATTGATTGTCAAGAGGGCAAACAACAATCTTAGATTCTCAAGCATCACCCTTAAACTGTTTTTGTTGAATCAGTGGAGAGCGACCAAGCCTTTTTCAAATTTAATAAGAGCTGTAATGGTTTATTTTCATCCCTCAATGCTTCTTTTCCTGTACTTTTAGTCTGCTTTTCCATCTAGCCTGTTGTTTTCCTACTTTAAACATTTGGTATGCAAGAAGACATTTCTGTATGCTATCAAGAACACATTTGCCTATTGCTCACTTCTTTCCCTTGGTTTGTGTAGAGGAGCTAAAGTTGTTTGTGTGTGTGTTTTTTTTAATTGGACTTCATTTATTCCCCTCAAAAGCAGCTACTAATGCACAATGTGGAGTACTTCACAGCCCTCTGAGAATAAAGCAAGAGCACTAAGTCTAACTAATGCATGCATGTAATTAATTCTTTTGATGGAAGTGATCCTGACTGGACTCAAGATTAACTCAATTATTCAAAATGTGAAACAGTGTTATATAATCAGATACACACTCAGGTATTCAAATTATTGTCTTTTAAATACTGAAAAAAGCCTTTACAATTACATAAGTTTGTAATAAAATGTTCCTAAAAAAAGGATCAGATCATGATCTTGAAGTTTTGCCTTACTGACCTTTGCTGCATTGGTATTATTGCTCTATTATATACGTTCAGATCCTTTAGGTGACCCTTCAACTTGTAATATTGTTTGGTTTGAACATTGAATATCATTTACGATGAAGGCAGAGTCATGTATTCTGTTTAGGTTGATAATGTTTCCTCAGTCAGTCTTTTTTATTTTAAAGATTTTGTGGTAGTATCACTGAACCCACCTGAATCTTTGCAGGTGACCTGGAGAAAGGCGTCCCAGGGTAAGGTGGTGCTTTCACCCAGAGGCCTGGTTCAGGAGCTGGGTGCTGGAGGGAGCAGAGCGGAGGAGCCTTCAGAGGAAGGGAGAGTCAGTCTGCAGAAGACAGAGGGCGAGCGCTTCGACCCCGACACCGGCAGTGGGATGTTGTTCCTCAGTAACGTGACTGTGGCTCATGCTGGTTTTTATGAATGCGAAGCCTGGAATGCAGGGGGCGTGGCCAGAGTGACCTTTCAGCTTGCCATTAACTCCTCCTCGTCGTCCTCCTCTTCCTCCTCCATTTGGGCATCATGGTCACAGGTATCCTCAGCGTACTCCCCTGCCTGGCCTCGGTTAAGAAGTCATGGTTCAGCTGTGGGCTCAGACGTGAGCCGGGAGCCACTGTACGCTCTGGGCAGTATGGCCTTCAGTGCTCTGGGGGCAGCTACCCAGACGGCCATCGCTGTGGGCATTTCCCTGCTGGCTCTGACCGCCTTGCTGCTGGTCGCTATGATCTACAGCCGACATCACCAACGAGACAAGGAAGCTGATGGTGAAGGTGAAAAGGTGTGTATCTGTGTTTAGATGTAAAAAGGGAATAGCATATTTTGAGCAGCTGGAGTTGTGTGAACATTTTTTATGATGACAGAAGATGGTACTTATTTGGAGGTGTGCAAAGTAAACAAGAACATCAATAGTGACCAGGAATGGGCTGTACTTTTAGTTTAAAGATCCTGCTCTTACTTTAACTGAATTTCCCTTCGAGGATTAATAAAGTGACCTAAATGCACAATTCAAAAGCCAGCATTCAAGATGGAGGGGATGCCAAAGTGCCTACAGCACTGGGTAGCTTACACATCTATTAATGCTGAACAATATACATGATTGCTGGAGAAACAAACACTGCAATCCAACACATATCCAAGGAAGACCTTACACATACCAACAAGAAGATGCTAAACCACATTCTGCATAGAGTGTCATGTGTGAAACAAAAACGAAAGGGAGGACCCACGTGCAGAACTCAAAATAGTTTATCAAAAAACAAACAAAAAAAAAACAACTTAATATTTAAATGTCCCACCAAAAAAAGAAACAAGAGACATAGGAGGGAAATCATAAGGGCATTAGGTAGAGAAGACATGAGCAGTCACAATGAACCAACAAAGAATAGACTGGGTAACGAGTAACGAGGGACAGGTGAGACACTCGGACACAGGTGCAGACAATCACTAAGGAGGGAAAACACAGGAAGTAAGTCTAGACCAGGCACAGAAGAAGAGGGAACTACAAAATAAAACAGGAAATACTGAAAACTGATTTTAAGATTAAAACACTGAAAACAGGAGAGGAGCGGGATCAAAGATAAACTGAAAATGCACAAACAGGAACACAGGGGACAGACACAGGAGAGAAAAACAACTACATTACAAAACCAGGAGAAAACTAAATTCACAAGAACTCATCCTGACATGTAGATCAGCAAAACCTAAATCAGACAAGATTAAAGAATGACACAACATTATCCTTTCAAACTCCAGCTGTTGCTCTCTTCAGTTTACAAATGTTGACTAAGCGTTGTTCAAATCAAAGGTGATGCAACACAAAGGTAAATAAGCCCCCGTCACAACCTGATTTCAGATATGTTGCTCAAGTCAAGTTTAAAATGGACATACAATAAAAAAGTTGAATTCACTGTTTGGTATATTATCTTTGCACTATTTTCAACAGAATACAGCATTTGAATGATTTACACACCATTAAAGAAGATTTTACACAATGGTCCAACTTTTTATAGTCAGGGTTGGATTCATCTTATCGACTACATAACCTTTTATTGTCTAGCACTCTGAAAGAAGCCACTCGGTGCAGATGTAAAATAACCAAATATAAAGATGTAAGTGGTGTTGAAATACTGTACCCTTCAAGTAATCAGTGTAAATCTCAACAGGAGGACAGCATCCTGTATGTGAATGACTACTCTGACGGCCCCACTACCTTTGCCCAGCTGGAGGAGTACCGTGATGAGCGGGGCCATGAAATGTACGTTCTCAACAGGGCCAAGCCGGTGCTGCCTCCTGCTCCACCCACTGCTGTCTCCACTACTAACCTGGGTTGCCCTGCTCCATCTGAAACCTCTAGCCACACCCTTTCTTCAGGGGCTGGCCAAACCATGAGTCCTGCTCTGGCCCCCAACAAGCAGCAGCAGCAGCAGCAGCAGGAGGGTGACATACGGACCATGAGGAGAATGGCTGGGGAGGGAGGGGAAGCAGAGCCTGTGATCACTTCAGAAGCTGAAGGGATGTTCCTCAATCACACAGGCTTGTTTTTGGACTCTCAGATTGCATATGAAATTCACTGCTGAAAGGAGGATTAAACCCTTTAATGTTTGTGCAAGGAAGGTGTACAGCAAAGCCTTTCACATCTCATCTAAGGGAAGTCAAGGTGCCACGACTGAAATCTACCAGTAACTCACAGAAACTTGTATCCCTGCTGATGACTTATCCAGCTGTGTTTGAGGAGGTTTGCTCATGTTCGAACAAACATTCAGAGTTGCTGTATTAAAACGCGGTGGTGGGAAGGCTGGTGGATTGTTTGGCATTTAAATCCCACACATCAAAAGACCACAAGTGTTGGACTCAGGTAAATACTGAGCTTCACACAACTAAACTTCCAGGCCCGTGGACATTTGTTTCAGCATTCACCAGGACCATTTTAAATCTATAATCCTTCCATCATTACTGCTCAAGAGTTAACTTCTGTCTTCTCACGATCTTCCCCCGAAGCTCGTTGGTGATTTGAAGGGCGCGTTTAACGGAGGAAACGATGGAACGTTCTGGAAAACAACACCAGAGGAGTTTACTTTGTTTTATTACTGTTATAATGTGTGAACATGTTTCAATTTGATGTTGGTCTGTGCAGGCTGCTGAACATCTCAATGCAGTATCGTGGTGGCAGGACAACAGCATCCTTTTTTACCATTTGTTTCTGTGTCGGAGCATGTAAATCATCATAGAGGATGGAATATAAAGAAGTTTCTCTTTTGTTAGTTTCTGTCTGACCCTCAATTATTGTCTGAGCGCTACAATCAGATAAGCATCCTGTTCAGAAAACACAGACATGCTCTGTTTGGGTCTGAGCGGAGGAGCTTCATTAGGTTTTATGCTGGTTGATGTGAATTACTGTGAACATGAAGCTAATTGGCACCAGAACCACCTACAGCTGGGTACTTTTAGGACTGCATCAACAGCGCAGCGTCGTTTCGGTCTTTTAAAATAACATGAAACTGTTACCATGGCAGAAAGAAACATTCAGTCAAATAAACAAAACCAGATTTTTTATTATGCAAAGGAGTGTAATGGCAAAATGTAGAAACTGAAATGGGACTCCAAAGTTAGGCCAATAAAAATGGTTAGGATTACCTCAATGGCTCGGTTTATATAATGAGCAGCAAGATCTGTACTCTTATGTTTCAGTGTAAATTACCATTATGGTGAAGTAACATCAACAAATGGTTTCTGGTGAGAGAAACAGAGAGAAACTGGGAAAACGGTTTGTTTGACTTAAAAATTGAACCTAAAAATGACTTTTTTCAAAATGCTTAAAGATTTGTTGCTGCTGAGGTCCACTAAAATTGGTCACTCAATTTTTTTTTAGTAATCTCTGGCATCAGTGGCAAGGCTCAGGGTTTAACCTCATTAACGTGTGACTTATTTTTATAGTAAATGTCTAGAAAAAGGCAACAAAGACTGATTATGCCGGAGAAATGCACAAGTAGTTATGTATACAAATATGTATATACATACGTACATATTGGACAAATACAACAGAATAATTACATTCTGTGCTTTTATATTAACATTGATATATATTTCTTTACATTTTGTTTAAATGCATCTTATTGTGATCCCTAATTCATGCAGTCCCTCACAAAGTTGTCCACTGTTTAGATAGTAGTTTGTTCCTTTTTACACACTCGGCATTTTCACATCATTAAAAACCATTGGGGGAAAAGTTCAGTCTTAGTTGCACTGACTGATAATGAGGAATTTGTTTTTGGATCCTGCTCTGTCCTAAAATATAATGGCTTGTTATTTTAATACTGTTTTGTACCTCCGAAAAAAAAAAAAAAAAAAGGACACAAGCTAGTCCCTCCGCTTATCCATGTCAACTTCAATCACAAAGTAATCAACATCTAATATTAACCTTTCCTGCAAAAATTTGACAGGGCAGATCTGTATTAAAGTCCAACTGCACCGGGCAGCTGATGCTTCATAAGCAGGCAGGTTCTGTGGAGCTGGGCTCAACTGCACAATACAATTCAACATGAGGGGTACGGTGAGGTCAAAAGAAAAGGATGTGATATTTCTGCAAGATGACTCACTTTGCCAAGGAGCCCACATAAAATTGAATGCCAAACATAACAGACCTTGACAAGTGGGCTTGCCACAAAGACAACAAAATGAAGTCTCCAGGAGTAGAAATAGCCTTGTGTCTGAGAGATACAGAGCTCCTCAGAGTGGACTATGATGGTGAAAACCATTTAAAACTGTTCTCAGCATTGATAAAAAAATTGTTGAATAACAAATGTGATTTTGCTCAGATGAAAGAACACTCTTCCTTTCTCCCAGGATCCAGGGGGATTATGCTCTGTGAACAAGAAAATGATACAGATAGGTATTCTATGTTACTCAACAATACTCCGGAGCAAAGCAGGACAAAGCAAAGGTTACCATGCAGGCGGAGCTGGGCAAACAAGATGTACAGGGCGAAGAGCAGTGGGCAAAGAACCAAAACAGACAGGGGTGGGTCAAAGTCAGGACAAGTGGAAAACCAAGGTTGAAGCCAAGAATCCAGTTCCCTGATACAACCTTTACATTACAGGCTTATGGACCTAATTATGTATTTTCACCTATCTCACCTTTTTCTGGCACAAAAGCAAATTAGTTGTTTTTATTTCTATTTAGTCAGTTTGCTGAATATTGATCGTAAAATATACACAACTGAGTCAGTTTGTGTAGGAAGCTGTCCAGTAAACCAAGGCCTGTTGTCTTAGTCAATAAGGAGTTGTGACATGAGGAACACCACCATCAGTTTACCTGAGGAGGAACACTAGCAGGATATATTGCTATGGAAACATGTGAGAAATAGCGAGGGAGAAAACACTTCTGATTTCTGTATAACTAACGACAGACCATCCACTCTGTTTTCCTTTGCTGGGTTTCACATAATTCTTTCAGGATCGACATTTAGCATCAGTCTTCTTTAAGTATCCCAGCTCCAGATTTTGGTACAAATGCTATTGCACAGAGCAAAGCAGGGAAAATCATTTTCTGATATTTGAACTGAAGTGAGAATATTCACCATAGAAAGTGTTATTATGGTGTGACCATTTTTGGAAGTTCCACTGCCCTGGGTAAAGTCTGTATTTATTCCTTTACTTTGGCAGCTCTATACTCATGTCGTCATCCCTGCAGTTCTATATAAGTTCCCTGGTTGCAGCTGTCTGCTCTAGGTCTCTCTTCTGGATCATCATGAAGGGCTTCTCCACCCTGGTACTGCTGTTCTCAGTGGTGCTGCTTTGCAGCGCTGATCCAATTTTGGAGCCAGTAACATGTGGCGTAGAAAGTATTGATGTGGCAGCACGTTTTGCGATACATCACATCAACGAGCATCATAACCACGGCTACAAGTTCAAACTCTTTGGGATCATCAGCAACAACACAGAAAAGGTATGAAACAAAGAATAAGCAGTGACTGCACACATGTGCTCAGTTGTGTTCTAATTTGAAGATTTTGGTGGAAGCAACGGGATTATTTCTTTTTCTGTTTTGTCCAACACCTGGCAAGGCACATTTCTTATTGAAGGACGCTTCTTATCAGCTGGACACACTTTAAACAATTGCTTTGCCAGTATCAGCTCAGATACACAGCAGAATAGACTGTATCTTATAAAGAGGTCTCTCTTTTCTTTTAACCTCTTCAAACACTTTTACATCATATGGCTCATTCACCCACATCACACTTGTACACTGACAGCTACACTGTGCTCATCATCGGCCTAATTCACACACTGCTTGTAAAGCATGTAGAGAGAACTTTAAGCATGTACAATAACTTAAAATCAACTGTATCAAGTACGCAACATTTGACTCGTGGTCATATTTAGGTAACTGTTATTCAAAGTTTTCATTTCTGTACTTTCCAGACTGACGAAGGCTGTACAATACAACTAGATTTAAAGCTTTCAGAGACAAACTGCCATGTTGTCAACCCAAAACCCTACGAGGACTGCTCCACCAGAAGAGATGACGAGGGGGTAAAAACCAAACTAATACTTGTTTAAGTTAGCTCCTGTACAAGCCATGCAGCACATTTATCTTGTTGTCGGTCAAACTGATTATATATTTTGTGTCACAGATAAGTGATTTTTTTTTCCTGATTAAATCCCTTTCTCTGTTTCAACAAAGCCAGTGGAAGCCAACTGCAATGTGACGATGTCTATAAAAGCCAAAGATGCCAAAATCGACCGTTATTCATGTGACACGCACACAGGTAGGCTTTAGATTAGGTAAAACTTTATTGATCCTTTGGGGAAGGTTTCTTCAGGGAAATTCAAAATTAAAACCTCACTGTATGTAAATAAAACTTTATTTTGTCAAACCCTTTTTATTGTGTTCAAGGTTTTCAACTTCACAGAAAGATTTAGCCGAGCCCAAGAAGATGACAAGACCTACTAAAATCCTAACACATTGTTTCTCTCAAGGGAAGGGAGGACAGCTTGCAGAGGTCAAACCAGATCGTGTCTACTTGCACTTAAAAAAATCAATGGTAGACTCTTAAGCACTGAAAACTTTGTTTTTCAAATCTGAAACAGTGATCTGGAGAACTTTTTTTGTGATATGGGCCCACTGAGAAAACTTTGTTGTTGTTTTTTAGGATCACAATCAGGTGTTCTGAGTCAGGAGATAAACTCACACACATCAAGGTCAGCTGTAACAATAAATCTGTGTGTTTGTAGAATTTGAAGCCAGTGACCTGGTAAGGAGGTGCCCCGACTGTCCTCTACTCATCTCACTCAAAAGCAAAGAAGGTGTTCAAGCTGCTGAAGCGATTGTACAACAGTTCAACCAGGACAACCAGAACAACCAGCAGCACTACTTCGTCCTGCAGGAAGTGGGCCGAACACGAGTTGGAGTGAGAGATCTTTTTATGTTTATATTCTTATTTTTCAGTGTGGTCATTTGAAATGGATTAACTAAAAGCTTTGGCAGCCAAAATTAAGTACAAAACTGCATTACTTGTATGTTTGTGAGGTTAAATGACTCAGTAACATCTCCTCCTTCTCTCAGTATATACCAGGAATGGGGACACAATACTATAGCGAGGCCGTCCTCGTGGAGTCCCATTGCCCAATGTCATCTAGGATAGTTCCTCAGGCGTGTGAGCCCTTGTGCCCTGACAGAGCTGTAAGTATAAATAACAAAGACGGTAGCTTTAGAAAAATATAAAGCCACACTTTGACAAAGGGACTATAAATAATTGTTTAATTAACTTTTTAGATCACTTTCAGTTTGACTTTTTATTCAATGCAATGTTTAGCAGAAGACAGAATATATTATTCTATATTCATGTTACAAAACAAATCTCATTTAATCTACACAATTATATTCTTTGTCTTTCAATATTTTTTTAACTCTTGTCCTGTGCAAGACAATAACCGTGTGTTCCTTAATAGACATATATAGTTTGACCCCTAAAACCATCAGTGAGGACTGTGTTGGATCTTATTTTGACAGTAGGCTTATACACGTGAATGGGCTCAATCTAATGAATAGTCACAGCTTTAAAAATCACAACTTTCTTGGTAGTAATAATCTTAGTCTTTTACAAGGTTGTTAGTAAGGTTAAAAATAGCAGCTTTCTCTGTTAGCAAGCATTTCATTCGTTGTTAGTCACAGAGATGGTTTCTTACTCTCGTTCTCTCCCTCCTCTTTTCAAAGCAACATGCTGTCTGCAAAGCAGCATACGCCTCAATGAGCGGAGAAATCCGTGATCTTAGGTGTGACTTGTTCCAAGCATTGGTGAGTTCAAAGTTTAATCCCAGAATGTTCAGTAACTTTAGCTCTTGCTCTACCATACTAGAAAATTCTGTCCTAATTCCCCAAGAATCTGTGTAAATATAGACAATAAACTGACACTACCTTTTGGCTCTGTGCTCAATAGAACTCTACTGCCCTTGTCCCCGGTGAGCAGGAACCTGAATGTGCGATTCAGCTTCCCATCGACCCCCCTGGTCCTCCTGGCACACAAGGACCTCCAGTACCCCCTCCCCGCCCCTTTCCACACGCTGACCGCTGTCATAAAGATTTCTCACTTGAGTTCCACCCAATTTGCCCCTGGCCTTAGCCTGTCTCCTAACATCTGTAATGTATGCCATCAAGGTTAAAGTCCTTCAAGAGAACTACACAACACATCAAATAAACCATCAAGATGTCGATCATTTTGCAGGTGTGTCTTCATTTGGTCTTTTTTTAATCGGCTCTGGTACTCATAAAAGGCAGAATGTTTCAGGTAACATTTCCCATGAACCCACCTGTTATAGTGTCTCATAAGCACATCCATAAAACCTTATAAAACTCTTATGACTGATAATAGGTATGCAGAGTAGCTCATGGTAACATTTAAGGCAGTGGTTCTCAACTGGTCTCACTCTGGGACCCACATTTTCCCATGGTCCTTAAGTCGTGACCCACTTTTATAGAATTCAAACTAGGCAAATTTATTTTTTATTTAAAAAAAAAAAAACTGAAGACTCTAATCTTTAACACAAACCCACTTGTTTTATTGAGTAAAGTGCATTTCAGAGCACATGAAGGGGACAACACGAGGACGACAACTACTGAAGTTGCTTATACAGAAAATATCTAATAAATATCACATTAAATATTTACTTTTTTGACCAGCTGTTCGTGACCCATCCAGAACGTGTCCGCGACCCACTTTTGAGTCAGGACCCACCAGTTGAGAACCACTGGTTTAAGGTGTTATAAGCAGTTAGCACAATGCCTTATAAAAGGTGTGGTTTATAAAGCATTATACCTAAATGCAAAAGAAAACATCTAAAATTATAAAAGCGTTATGACAAACGCATCAAAACCAGAAGTTTAGAGTGACAAAGAGCACTCAACAACACATTTAACTCATTTTTAATATTTGAGGTTAAAAATGTATTCAAAGCAACTGATGTCCTAAAAGAACAATTAACATAAGACTGAAAGAGTTTAATGGAGATCACAGTTCATTTCTGAATTATGACAAAAACAAGGACATACTTTTAAAAACTCACAGGTGTAAAATGCTCCATACTTTACAACAAACAAAAACAAAAATACTTTCATTATATTACACTGATTCCTTCACAATTGGAAGTAAATTAAAATAGGATTCCTTAAATAACTAAAAAGATAGACCAATTAAAATTTCACATCATTTATTCAAAATAAGCACCTGCAGCTGGTTAAATATCATCCAGCACTCTGGTCAGTAAGTCTGCTGCACCTCTGCTTTACGCTGAGAAGTAAGCAGAAGCTACCGAGGGTTTTGTTCGCTGAGGGACTTCTAGAAAGAGGAAAAAAGGAATTATATCATAATATATCCACCATATTAGCCCCACTTTCATCCAAATCTTCAATCAAAATCCTGAAAAGAATTTCATTCAGTTTGATTTCAAGTGAGACTCTAGTGGATGTCATTAAGGCACACGCCCATTTATAACCCCATCTTTGAACATGGAGCCCATTTGCTGTTTACAGCCCGAGTGGAAACGTGAACCGTACAAAAGGATCTAAGGTTGAGAAGCAAAGTCAAAACAGCCTTATCACTTCAAAGATCGTTAGAAATTACTTCACACTAAACAGCTTCAGCTGAGAGGTTTGAGATTGTATTACCTCAGATTGTGTTTGACCTCTTTTACTCTGCACAGACAGTTTTCTGCATATGACGAATGCCTACTGAAATGCTGTTAATCATTAACTTAGACAACAAACATGAACCTGAATGCTTGTGTGCTGAAAATTTGGACCCTAATACTGAACTACGCTCACACCAGAGGCAGACTGGGGTTTAAATTCAGCCCGGGAGCTTGGTGTCAAGAGGCCTTTTATCCGACCGCAAGAAGGATGCAAGTGGAACCGTGATTTTAACACAAGTGCTTTAATCAAAGTATAAAAATACTATATTACAGTTAAAACTACTGTGTGTTTTTTCGTGTGTGTTTTATGATGAAAACAAGCAGCTTATCATCAGAGTCTGAGCAAAAATTTGGCAACAGAAACCAACCTCCAAAGATATACAGACCTATAACAGACATGTATAACATTTGGGAGGGGCCGCTCGTATACCCCCCTTTAATCTGCAAAATATTAGATTGACCCGGTCTGACGTCCCACCGACTCGGGTTGAGAGGGCAGGCTGCTGCGACTCCGTTTTATTAACGTCATTAATTAAAAAAAACAAAAACGCTCTGATCACCGGCTGGTTGGGGTCTGGAATAGACCAGCCATTCGGGAAAAGTCCTGAATTTCCCAATGGCCAGTCCGCCCCTGGCTCACACACATTTCACTGGCTTACCACAGCCAGTGGTAGAAGAAATCCAAAACATGGGTATTGTTCTCACCTCTGTGAAGATTAGATGGCAGTCCATAAACGGGGATGCTATCATCTCTCCTTGAAAAGTACTTCAAATCCAGACCAGCAGTGTCTCCACTATGGACAAGAAAGACCAGGAAAAAACACACCATGCTAATAATCCTGTTGCCTAAGATCGCTTTTCAAACTTCTTCCAAATTGATCAAATGTTCTCTCAAGGGTTTCAGTGGAAGAAATCTAATCAAAACCAAATCAAGAATCACATTTTTCATATCAGAATGTGAGTGGTAGTTTATGCTGTGGAAAGACAATAAAGGAAGAGAAGAAAAAAGATCAAACTCACGTCTCTCTGTTTGCTGCTTTTCGTTCAGCAGGAGTAACATCAGCAGCCCCCACAGAAAACACAGCAGGCAGGACTGACTGAGGATAAAACTGGGCCTGCAAAGACACATGGTTTGTGATGATGTATGTCGACCCAAAGGCTGTTTATCAATTTGATCTTGAGTACCATAGTACAGCTGTTGTTTACAAAAGTGTAAGAGTAAAGAGGATGATTATAACTAACAGCTATCATGTTTGACTTAAACACTTTGAAGGCATTTCATACCTTTAGTCCAGTTGTTGTGGATAAAACTGAAGGATTCTCCAGAGATTCAGGGGACTGTGGCTTTCTTGTCAGCTGTTTCTCATTGAGCTGCTTGTTAAGCCAGCTAATCACTGCAGAGAAAGACAAACAGAGCAGAACGTGGGTCAACATTTTTCAATGTTGATAATAAATTTTTACCTCAAAGGATGTGAATTCATGCCAGGAATTACTCAAGAATAACAATTTGCTGTTTTATACAAGTTTTGGTGTATGGATGGACTGAAAACAAGAAAAAGTGATGCATGATCATTTACCATTTAACACAGGCCTTTGTCCAACACACATTTATACACTCAAACCAAATGCTGCTGTACAAGGTGACAAACTCAATGTAATCTAGCTTGTTTACACAAACACAAAAAGTCATGAATCGTCAGAACAATTTTTTCAATCATCATTATTTTAGTAGCTTAAATTTGTCTGTAGCTCACAACATCTACATCTGACCACTGAAAGAGTCAGCACCTGAACCTTCAGTGTTCCTCACCATTTTCGTTGGTTTTTAACACCTCTTTGCTTTCATTGAGCTTCTGCACTGTCGACTCCAGCTGCTCCTTAAGCTTTGAAATCTGTAACACAACAATGATCATTTTGCGCTCTCATCGAAGTCATAACTCAAAGTAACAGAAAAAAAAGTAGTTCATTTTATTGTAGCTTTTTGCTACGAGATTGTGGTAGTCACAGCAGGCTGAGAGCTAGTTTATACCCATAAGCCTTTGCCATTTGAGTCTGAAAAACATTGCGTCATACTCTCTCTTAAAGTCAATTATGAAATAGAAAGCTATAAAATAATGATTAGAAAACCAAAGCACTCAGCTCATGAGCCATGCCTAAAAATGAACAGGTTTTTGTGGCTGATATCCTTACAGTAATATTATAGCAGTTATATTACAAAAATATGTTTTGCAGAATAAAGAGGTAACAAAGACATTGAAATTATTTCACATGCTGTTTGCTTAATCATGCATGTTGTTCAGTAATAACTGACCAAGGGTGCACCCGGATCAGGCGCTCTGAACTGTGCTCTGGCCAGTGTACGTGCTCCGCAGGGTGCATGTCTGTCATATTTTATTAAATAAGTTTGCTGATCAATTAAAAAACTGGAATATAATTTGTCTGATCACAGTGTTATTGTTGGTAAATGTTGGTTAATTGTTTACATGGCTATTCAGAGCAGATGTCGATTATTCTATACGGCTAGAGTCATACTTCAGCACAGTGCCTAGTGCGAGTGCACCCTAATAGTCCTGTAGAAGCTCAGCCCACTTCCCTCTACAACACACACAGCCTACAACTGCCATTCTCACTTTAATGTGTAAAGATAATGTGCATTACATTACATTACATTACATGTGCATACATTGTCATGGTGAGGGCTGTACATTGTACAAGGCCTTTGCTGTGTGTCAAATTTATCAAGAGATGAAAAAATGCCCGGAGATGTAAATGCACTGTGTCTGATGTTCCCATGATTCAGAGCCATACCTGTTCGTCTCTGTTTGTCAGCTGCTGCTCAGCGCTCTGGAGACTCTTTTCAACATTCTGCAGTTTGTCTGATGTCTCCTGGAGAACCTTCTCTTGTGACACAGTCACAGTGTTTTTGATTTTTAGTTTTCCAACAAGACCTCGAACTTCACCCTGCAGCTTCTTAATGATACCATTAGCCTGTAAGAAATAAAAAGAGGATCAGACACTGGAACTGTACTATCATAAAACAAAAGGATGGCATAGGCTGACACGCAGTTGAAAGACTTTTTTTTTTTTTTACATATACAATAAAAATCAAACACAGGCCCCAATAGACAAACAGTCTCAGTGCCTCAGGTGACTGAGTCTGCTTCTCCACTCTTAGTACCCAAGTAGTAGAAAAGTAGCAGGAGACAGGCAGCTGTTCAAATAAGAAAGTGGAGTCAGCTAAATCCCACTTTTCTTTTCAAACACTGGTCTCTTATCTTCTCACTAAATCACTGGGTGGATAAATTTCTGCAATACTGGGAAAAATGGATTGTGTTTGTGAACTCACAACCTGATGTTTCAGCCATCATTGTATGATATCTGACATGTATTTCTATTAGTGATAACAACAACAGTATGAATGTATAGATGTATTTGCTTCAACATGTTCAGTTGTGTGCGTCTATAAAAATAAAGTATAAAAAGACAAAAAAACAAAAAAACAAACAAACATTGGTCTCTTGGTTTGTTTAGTACACCCTTTTGGCTAAATCAGTCTTAAGCCACCATGCACTTAATAAAAACGACTGGACCTACTATTTTCAGCATTGGGGTCAACTTTGGCAGCAGAGTTTAGGAGTTCATACCTTTATCAGCTCTTCAGACAGTGACTTTACAGTTGCTTCAAGTTTTCTTATGTGGAGTTCTTTACTTTCTGCATTTTCCTCAACTGATTCCTAAAAAAACAAATACAATAGATTTAAAGAAAAGTTAGTGGAGAGAACTTGTGATGGACAATTTTCCTGTAGATCTGTACTCAAGTCTAAAATTCAAATCATATGACAGCCTTCATCTCCATTCCTTTCTGCTCTATAGAATATAAACTCATTTTATCTCTTCTATGAATTTGCACCCTATTAATATACATTTATGGTTTTGCTCTCTTATCTATGGAGTGTCGTTGTCTCTCTCTCCCGTCATTGCTTTTGTGATGAAGTAAAAAACATATTTGAAGTTGCAGCTCTAACCTTCTGCTGCTGAGTGGCATCGAGCACTTCTTTTGTGCGGCGCATAAGCTGCTCCTTATCTTTGACCTCCTGTTCAAGAACAGCCACTCTCATCTGCAGCTGGCTTGCCAGACGCTCCTTCTCGTGGACCTCTGTGTCAAGAGTGCTGTTTTCCCTCCTGAGAGACAGGACCTGCTGCTTTGAACGCTGGCACTCCTACGCAAATAAGACAACAATTCAACTGCAGATGTGGTCAGTAGTTAGTGAAGAAGTGAAATAATCACTATTCATACAAGAAGTCTCTTTTAAGAGCATGTCCTGGATTAAAGCCTTTTCTTAACTCAGTCAGACAGACTGTTGTAGGGTTATTGAATAAATATGCCATTAATTGTCATTGAGTCTGTGAGCATAGGAGGTAAACTTCTCCTGTAGTGATTTAACAAGACGAGTGAGCTACCATGTGTTTTCAGCCAACAACACTTGAGCATACCTGCCAACATTTGGGTTATAAAATCCGGGAGATTTTTGCGGCAGTTTTGGGGTTACATGGTGTGGTGGATATCAGCTAATTATGTGAGTATTTGTAATTAAATTGCTCACATAAATAAGTAAGTGAAGCTGCACACTTTTTGTTTTGTTTTAACAATAACAAATGGTAATAATAAAAATAATAGCTATGATATGCCTTGAACTTATTCAGTCCACTAATATATGGTGTTAAAGTCCTCATATGTTTTACATGCTCTCCCGTATGAGGCTCTCTGAACATCTGTGTGTGAAATACAGCACTCTTTTATCTGAGGCTGCCCTGAACACATCACTCCGAGACAGTGCAAGACTATCAACATAAATATTATATCTCATGTTTGTTTCCCTTTCATTGAAGTGCTCATTTTGCAACAAACACCGCTTAAATATAGTTTACAGCTTAAACCGACCTGAATCATCCAAAACTGTAAAGTAAAAGTACCAATCCTCAGTTGTCTGGAAACCTGGTGACTTTGGACAAATATAGTGATCCGATTCATGAGTGAATGTGGACCATCAAACTACGGGAGATTCCCGCGAGATATGACAATATGTGAGGTGGGCGGGAGATAGGTCTGAAATACAGGAGTGTTGGCAGGTATGTACTTGAGTGATTTTCAGAACAGTCAGGAAACAGAGATCACCAGGATGAAATCATTTGGAGTCTCTGAGTGGCTGTATATGTTTTTTGAAGAGATTCTGCAGTAGCTACAGTTGGAATCTAGTTACGAAAAATGAATCAAATAATAATGCAAAAAATATGACAATGCTAATACTTCCTCATTAGACACAAAGAATTATGACTCTCGGAATCCCAATAGGGTATCTGTTGCCCACCCCAGCTGGTATATGGAGGTTAGAGGGGAGTTCAAGCTCACTGCCTGTGGTCAGACTTCTAACTTTAACACTGTTAACTCTTTCATATCAACATTTTGGGGCGCATCAAGCAATTCTGTTAAACAAAGAGACTCTAAAAGCTAAACTTGGTACCTAAATAGAAGGTAGAGGAAAGGCTAGTCCTTAGTCAAAGACAAGCATTGAACGAAAAGAACCGAAAGGGACAGTTCAGTATGACAGTCTTATTTCACAACTTGACTAAAAATCATCAATGACTTGGTCATCCAGTGAACTTGGTCCCTTACTTCCTCTGCACCAGCCAGTTTAATCTTCAGGTCTCTGATGACAGACTCATTCTTGTATTTCCTCTCTGTCAGCTCTCTGCAGGATGTTTCCAGCTCTGTGAGTTTGCTGTTTAGCTGCTGGCTGCTCTTCTTATGAGTCGCCTCCAGTTCCTGCCGGAGCTGCTCAGTCTGCTGCTGGAGCCGGCTCTGTAACTGGATGACCGCAGGAAACAACAAGTATAAGGACTTGAACTCAAAACTCTTTAACTCCACCAGTTTTCTGCTGATCCACATTGCTTTGTATGTTACCATCACATGAGAGCTCTCAAGCAATCACGTAATTATGAATAACAGTAAAAAAAAAAGTGCTGGTCTCTTATGCAGAAAGATAAACCTTCTTCATCTAGTTTGTGGAGAAACAATATAACTCATTTGAAACCTTTTTTTAATGTGGAGGTCTTTTTGTTTTAAAATGAATATTTCACCACACAAAAACTGTTAGAAACACAGTCCACTTCTGATGAGTCTCACCTCTGAAGCCTTTTCTCTTTCGGACTGCAACTCCTGAGTATGTTGGCTGGACAGGCAGCTGGTCTGACTTGTCCATTCTGACCGCAGTTTGTCCAGCTCTTTAGTTTTCTCAGACAGGGTCTGTAGGAACAGAAAAATACATTAATATAAGCGGTGCCTCTTTTGTAACCTCTCCAATTACATCCATTTTCTATTTTGAAACTTGCTATATAGTTAGGATTAATTGGTCATCTGCCTCAAACTGATGAAAGTCATTCTATCAAATCCCTGCTGGCAGAATAAACCTATAACTAGAGATCAGGTTGATGATTTGTATAAGCAAAGTCCTTACACCACATTAAAAAGCTACGGAGAAAAAGAAAACAGAAAACCATTTGTACTGTAATACGCCTACTTTCTTGACATACAGTTTCTTAACACAGCTGTATTCAGGTCTCTATTTTTGGCTTCACTTTTCTTTTTCTTTCTCCATCTTTTGTTGCTATAGTGTACGTGGATTTGTATAAAAACAGACTAATTGTTTGATGTTTGAATTATGTTATGACATTTTGTATAAATAAGAAAAAAAAAACTGTCCTACAGCCACTCTGAGGCAGCAGAGATACATTTGTAGATACACGAGTTCATGGTTTGCTTTGTAACTTACAATACCTTTATTGACAACATCAAACTCAAATAACACCAGCCTGCAGCAGAATAACCAAGTAGACATCTACAAGCATTAAAGTGATCAATTATAAGCCCATTGGTGAATATGGGTTACACATCTTGAGACTGTAAATCTATCCATCAGTCAAATATTTCTGATAACCACGGCTTGAGATGTTTTGTTTTTGTTTCCTGGATGTAAATAGTTCATGATAAGATTAAGTTCCTGACATCAACAATAACCAGTGATAAAACACACCTGTTGAGCATAACTTAGCTGTCTGGACAGGTCATCTTCAGTCTTCTTGAGCTTTATCTCTAGGGCCTGTTTTTCTGTCTGAAACAAAGATACATACATTTTTTTAACTCAAAACACAAGTCTGCATCTTCCAAAAACAAAGTCTACCATTACAATTCTTTCTGATGTAGTAGATTCTTCCTCAGCTCAATTTGCTTGAATGTTTTATCTTTACATACAGCCTCTTAGACGAACAAATCTATGGGTATGAAAGCTCTCCGTATTATTCAGATAGCACTGTGTAAAAAGAAAACTCTGTAATTAATCAGATATATCCCAGTCTTACAAGTCAAAACTCTTTTGAGTAATGCTGGTTATAAATTGAGTTTACCTTCAGAGAGGAGAGACACACTGCCAGATAGTCTTTAATATCTTTGTCGGAGCCTTGAGCAAGCCGTAAAAACAAGTGGTTCAGATGTTTGAATGGGTTTGTTTCTACAACACTAAAGTTGGCAGGGCCTTCGAGCAACGTAGACTGACATGACAACTGTAGAAGAAACCTGTGAAAAAAAAGCAATGTACAGATTTATTGTTTGAAGTGGTTTTGCTGTGGCACAATTTAATAAAAGATATCACCTATGTTTTTTTTCTTCATGCATACCACAACCTTGTTTGCCACCAATCTCAGCTTTCATTGAAATAAATGTTTATAATTTGTCTCAGATGACTGATGCCAGTTTGTGGTTGGCAGATCTTCATACCTTGGATTGTCCGAAACTTGCTCAGCATGGCATAGATTAAGTAGGTCGATAAACTTCTGAGGGAATGATGCAAAGTCTATTAGAAGTCCTTGTTGGACTTTTAAGCTGCACAAAAATGACACAAAAAAGAAATGTCAGTACGAGCTCATGAAAGCTTGTTTTATGACATCCGTAGTAAAAATACTACCATTACTATTGAAATAAATATTATATCAAATATTGTTTACCTTTGGAAATCTTCTTCTGATATAAAGAGGTTGAAGAGAAAAAAAGGATCTTTTTCATCTGTTAGTTTAACTAGAAGGTCCTTCCATAGGGGAAAAAAGCAAAAGAGAGTTAGTAACTGGATATCGGCCTATTTTAATGAAAATTATCCAATAATATTTACAAAGACTCAAGAATACAATCTAGTTGGACAAGATGAAGAGCTAAATGCAACAAAAAGTGTCTTGGAAACATACAGCTATTAAACTTGATAAAACTTACCTGGCTGCAGCATTCACAAGTATTATTCATAACAACATAAATAACAGATCTTCCCCATTATAAGTAGATAAAACTGAAAAGCATTGACTCCAGCTCACCCTTCTGTGTACTGGACTTGATGTTTGTTGAAGCTCAATGGTAACACGGATGTTTACTTTCCTGTTAAAAAAAAAGTCTTTAAATAAACAACTAACATCCTGATTATACACAGTTTGGTTAATGTCAAATCATAATACATAAAAAACAGACACTTGTTTCTTGACCTGTCTCTGTCAAACTTTAATTGAGTTTTATTAATTTTAATCAGTCTAACCGGAGGTCCCTCTATCAGACTTTGAGTTTTATTAATATTAATCATACTAAACAGAGGTCCCTCTATCAGACTTTAGTTTTTATTAACATTACTCATACTAACCAGAGGTCCCTCTCTCAGACTTTAATTTTTATCAATATTGATCATAATAACCGGAGGTCCACCATCAGAGTTTAATTGAGTCTTATTAATAGTAATCATACTAGCCGGAGGTCCCTCTATCAGATTTTAATTTAGTTTTATTAATATTAATCATACTAATCGGAGGTCCCTCTATCAGACTTTGAGTTTTATTAATATAAATCATACTAATCGGAGGGTCCCTCTATCAGACTTTGAGTTTTATTAATATAAATCATACTAACCAGAGGTCCCTCTGTTACTTTTTTACAATCATAAAAGACCTATCAAAACACTTTGACAAGATGCTTTTGTACATCTGGCCATAATTGGAGGCCATACCTTGCAAACAAATTCTGTACATTTCAGACTAGGGTCGGACCTCCAGTCCTTGTACCCTGATAAAAATGTCAATAAAATATATGATCATATCATTTATCATAATCATATATTATGATTGTTGGTGACAGGTTAGGTATGTTACAGCTTAGAGTTAATCTGTTTTGTTTCCTTAACGCTGGAAAATAAAACTATTCCTGTAGTTATCACACTTTAAGATATTGTGGTGCAGCTGAAGTATAAAGTCAATAGTTGGTTCAGTCTGGGTCAGCTCTGTTTGCTGGTCTTACCTTTCCTCACAGTCCCTGCACCGCACAAAAACCGGCAACTCTTTACTAAAGAGCTCCTCCATTTTGTTTTGATGAACCAAAGAGTTTCCTTGCTGTGGTTATAGAGACACAGATGGACCAAGGTCTTATAAAACTGACAGCTTTTCACTTCCACAAGCCTAAACGCTCAGTCACTGGATACTGTGCGAAGAAATTTTTAAGTTGGCGGATTGAAACCGCCAACAAAGTCGCCCTGGAAACGGAAATGTGTTTTCTATAACTTCCGGTCGTAAAAGCGCAACAACGCCATCTTTGGACTGGGAGGGGGACAAACGCACGTGTACCTGGGTTTAAAATCGTTAAAAAAAAAAAAAAAAAAGGGTCAACTCTATTTTTTTATTTATTTTATTTTTATTCGTTAAAAATTGTATAAAATTGTATATTCTGAGATTGTTTTCCCATCTATTGAAGTGAGGCTTCATCTTGAGGTAAGGTCAACTCTAAGTGGGATGTGCGAACTGCATGATAGCATGAAACTGCTAAACTTCAGTGAATATTCTATAAAATAAATGTAGAGGGGATAATATTTGGCTCAGTAAAATATTCCTAAGGAGGCTGCTGGATCTCTGAGATATTTGAAATTATCAAGAAATACAGAATATAAAATAAAAGGTCAATAATTGGGTGAAATGTTAAAGAAAGTCATGTAGAAATCCATCATTCCATGCACATTAAATACAAACTGACCGTAGCCAACAGTGAAAAAACACTGGAGATGTTTTTAACAGGGTCAGTTCTGGTGCTGCAGCAGGGGCAGCAATGAAAAAGTATCTTGAACAAAAATGCAAGGTCTACAGAAAAAAGGTCTGATGCTGACTCAGTTTTTTTCACTCTAGTGTCACATCATTTGACAATGACCAATTACCTCACAAAATCTGAGACAAAAGATACATAACTGTCTTATAGCTTTTCATTTAAAAAGTCTTATTATACAATGCAATTCAAGTTGTATTGTTTTGGAGCTCAAATTCCTGTATTTGACATCTCACTTATGGCTGACCATCACACCTTTGGAGTCCTTTTAGCTGCTATAAAGAATAGTTGTCTCTGTGTTTGGCCTCAAACCAATGCCAGTAAATATAATCTCTATGAGTAAGACAAAGTCCTTGATGAACTTAGCTTAGCAGAGCATGTTAGCAGGTAAATAAATGTTATTAATTTGTATGTATGTGCACACCTACTTCATGCATAAAAGTCTGGACACCCTCCTGAGCACGAGCAGACATGAATGAAATAAATAGAGGCAGATGTTGCTTGAGGTGTGGTTTAGCTTGTTTATTATGGAATATTTTTGCATAGGGAAACATACTCATTTCCAGTAATGAATTATCAGCAACTGCTGATGGCAATGGCTAAATATGGTTAAAATGACATATTATCAAAGATGTAAATATTCCCCACGGCAGATGAATAACATTAGGTCAGAAACATTGGTTCAGACAGCCATCTTCACACTATGATACATTCATACAGGAACAAAAAGTCCAATCTTAAAACAACTCCAGTTTCGATGGCCACAAGAGGGCAAAACAATGCCACAGTGTTGACATCATTTAATGTTCCTATCTGAATGCAATCCCAGGAAAATAGTTAACATCGTGCAAACTGGGGTGGATTATTGACATTTGATTCAACTGAAAAACATCCAAAAGAAAAGTGCTTAAAGCTCTTGCTAAGCTGCTACAAACTACATCCAGTCTAGAGCATAGCCCTTAACACAGTGAACATCTCAGGCCAGGATTACTGTCAGCTGGTGCGTTACAGACTCAGCATAAAAAACACAACATGTCTTTATCTCTTCCTGTTTTGTTTTCATATCTGAAGAACATGTTATGCAATGTTGCATAAATCTGATTGGCTGTCATGTGTCATTTAAGGTGTATTCTGGGTCAGAGCCTACCAAGTCAAATTAGATTAAAAAAAATTGTGCCTAAGTCCTTTGTGTTCAAGTAATCAGCAATATTGCTGATTTTTTAAAGTGTGTTCTTTGGAAATGATAATGTTGTTAAGATGCACACCTGTAAGGAAATGAAAAGACTCAGGAGAGCCTTGTTCTTGACTTCAGCTGCTGGGAAACTTTGGAGTTCCGTTGTTTAGTGTTGAAATCCCATTGCTAAATGAACTCTTGCATGTCCTGATGGACATTAAATGTGAAAAGGACTGTTGTCTGTGTGAATGTAGTCATGCAATAACTGTTGAAAGCTAATCATGCCTACGCTCTCTCTGATGTTAAGGGATATATATTTGGAAGCAAGCAAAGCAGTTCTTTACATCAATATCTGAAAAGTTATGAAGAAAATCTTGAAAATATGAGACTGAATTAAAATGTTTTCAGAGAAACAGCTCTTTCTTCCCTTACAAATTGTCTTCAGCACACGAAGCACACAGAGTGCAAATGCAAGGTACTTGGTGTTACAGAATGGAATCAAAATGGCTTCGGTGTCACAAGAAAACCCCTAAAAATATCTTATATCAACAATAAAAATAGGATTTCAAACTTCTGTGAGTCTGAATCAAAGAAATTAGTTTTGAAGGGCCAATAAAAAAAAACATTTAAAACAGAAAAACAGCAGAATAAAAACAAAACAAAACACTCATTAGCGTTACAAGGTTTTGGGGCAATAAAATAAACACAGAGTTTATAGAAAAGGAGCCCTCTGAGGAAATCGCCTCTAATAAAACTGCCCACTGTTACAGACAGTCTCAAGTGACCCTCAGTCAAAGACACAACCAATCTAAGCTTTAAGCTTCAGATACAATCATCACTGTTTTCTTACCAATACCCATCAACTAGAATCTTAAAGCAGATTCTTATAAAACACATCCAAAAGAAATCATTTTTAAACATCCTCTATAAATGTTAGCACAGCACAGGGTTTGTACCACAACGAAAAGGAAAATCTGGCACCAAAGACCTCATAGAAAATGGACTTTCTTATATTTATATCCCCATTGAAGAAGGAAGATAAACATAACATGAAAATAATCAATAGAGTCAGTTGTATTTTTATCAACATGTGGAAAATTGCATGGGAGAGACACCGTAAAATAGGACAATGTGTATGGCTGGTAGAATCAGTTATAACTTTTATACAAAATATGACAACTTATTATGTGAATGAAACATGCCATACAGAGTACGGACCCTGAATTAGTGTTTTAGTTATCATTCATTTTGCAAGTTCTCCCTGTGGTTTTCCAATGTTGACAAAGTTAAACACCCCTGTGAAGACAGTTCAATGACAGATGAGGCGATTGAAAAACGTTATCTTTAAAAATAAGGGATCATTATTATTACTGGTTCAATTAGGAAAAAAAAAAAACCACTCATTAACTATCAGGACTGTTTTGTTATTTTCCCTCCTCTGTCTTTAGAAAATAAACACAACTTTAAGTAGCCTCAAGTGCCCTAAAGAGGCATCATAACAAAGCTGTACTTAAAATTCTTTCAGCCTATTTCAACTGCAAAAGTAGGCAAAAAACAGGACAGAGCTGTAATCCCTGAATATGACCCAACCTAAAATAAAGAAGCATGAATCCACTTGTTTATTTCACTCCATATGCAGATACTTTATCAGTGTTTCCCTTGATTTTATCGAACTCTTTGGGTTGATTTATGGCTTGTGACCTAAGGATCTGTCTTGCCTATCTCTACTGACCAGGGCTGGTGTTGTTTTCACTAATAAGCACCAACCCCCGCACCACCAGGTATTGTTTGAATAAAACATATTCCACAAAGCCCTATATATAAAATCAATGAAATTAAGCTCGCAGTAAAATAACAGGCACTGCTTATTGAAATCATTTTTGGTAGTTTCTTTGCCGTTTCCTCACCGATGACCTGCCGGTCTATTTGAAGGTTTGAGAAGAGCTGAATTTACACATGCAAGTTAGTTAAAAGATGAAACATTATTCTCATTTCATTAATGCTTTTTTCTTAGGTTTCGTCCTCATTAAGGATGACCCAGATCATCTTCAAATTATAATTACCTCCTCAATTGCTGTTATAAAAACCCAAGAAGAGTTTTCACAAAGTAGTGTCACCACAGTCACCGACAGCTGCACGGCAATGAACCTTTATTGAGCGGGTTTGAAATAGAGGCCTGGGAAGTTTGAATGACTTTTTGCATTTCTCTTGGTGGTGATTTTTTATGTACAATTATTCAATGCTGACTTTGGTACAATATGTTAAAATGAACAAAAACAGTGTACAAGCTCAAAACATGTTTAGCAGTGCAGCTGACACACTGTCAGAACACAGTGTCCAATCTTCCTCTTCTTTTTTTGTCCTTCTGCATAGAGATTCTCCCTTTTCTCCCTGGGTTTTACAAACAGGCAGCCAGCACCCAATTGCAGACATATCCCAGATGAGTAAGCCATATGAAGTCCCACCATGGGTGGATAAGTTCTCTGCTTCATCTGAAAACATTTCACAGAAATAGCCTTCATCCTCCTGCTTGCAGTTTAAACGACAGTCATGGGGGAATTCAGTTTTAACTTCCTGTCTGGTGTTACCAAGAAGGAGTCAACATGGTGATTTTTAAGGTGGAATACAAACATAATAATGCATTAAGAACTTGGCCGGTTTTCAGATCTGGCCTGTCACAATCAGTGCATAACATAACTAGAGTACAAGCTGCCTCTTGGTTGAAATTTCAAGAAAAACTTTAGTGCTAGGTATGCATCTGTAACCATAGTGCTATTACACGCATATTGACAAGTATTTGTCCCTTTGGCCTGTAGTTAATGGAGAAACTCCAAACAAGTGGCTTTTATGGGTCAACTAAGTCACAACTACCCAAGGCTTGACTAAGGACCTGAGTCAGCCAGGTCTGATAATGTTCCACAGTGCTGCTGCTGCAGATCTCAGCTCTGTGCCTGAGGGATCCAAGCACGCAGACAGCTTTCAACCATGTAGTGTGTCAGTTTTGTGACAGAAGACGGCTTAAAAAAGAGGGGTGGTTGGAGGGAAACTGAAGTGCAGAAAAATTCCATGTATCTGTTTCGTTTTTATTTTGATGAA